GGATTTTAGTCTTGCGTTTGATCTTAAATGAAGTTAAAACGATTAGATAAGATATATTATTGCATCTTTACTTACGAGGAATATTACGAAAGTGTTATAACTGTTGTCTTTTAAGTATTATTAAACGTAATAGTTAGCGAGGTGTATAAACCCCGGAAGATCGGACAACTCGTCAACCGCACTGGCTAAACAATGACCCCAGAATATGATCCACCAATCGATTAATGTCTCAAGACCCGAGTCACAGCTGGGTCGACACCACACCACGACCACACCCTGTCAGTCCCCTACTAATGCAACTTATAATCTTTTTACAACAATATTATATCAAATTACCAAAGCCATATATCGTATAAAAATAAATACCATATTATTGTTTATGTAGTGTATGAGGATAGACTACAGCCTAATACATCATACAGTATACCACAGCTGTATTATGACCTCATACACTATACGTTACATCATATCCTGTTACACACATACACGGTCTCACACACACACACACACACACACACACACACACACACACGGTCACATCCTTTTGTTACGTTACAGTGTTGCTTCCACCAGCCTAACTGTTGTATGTATGTATGTATGTATGTATGTGTGTATGCATGTATGTATGTATGTATGTACAGGGTATGTATGACCAACTCTATGCCCACGAGAGAATAAGAATGAATGATGAATTAGAACAAGGGAGAAAAGGAGCACACACACACACACACACACACACACACACACACACACACACACACACACACACACACACACACACCTGACCGTAATGAGAATCAAATAGTGAACAATGTGTCACCTTTTGTTGCCGCCTCTTAGCACAGCCGTCTTCCTCCTCCTCCTACCTCTTCCTCACCTCTCCCTAGGGTTCCTCCTCCTCCTCCTTTGTCCGTGAGTCAAGCGAAAGTGTTGACTCAGGAGAATATATTTCAACATACACTCTTTAACAGGATATATCTTAACACAGTCTACCAGGATGTTAAATGCCAGTTTAGGTTAGGTTAGTTTAGGCTGGGTTAGGTTAGTTTAGGTTAGGTTAGTTTTTTGTTACTCTCTACGCTGGTCTTGCATTATTTCTCCCTAGATATTCCCTATCTTCTATATGACTCGTCTGTTGTCTCCCTTCACCCACCCAACACAAGGAGGGGAAAATACTTGTACTATATCAGTGTTTCCTTCTGATGACACCGGGAGTGGACCACAGACCTCGTCCCTCTTCATCTCTTTTCTCTCACTGTCCCTCCCCTCTCTCTCTGTCTATCTCTTCTCTCCTTCCCTCCGTCCACCTCTCTCTCTCTCCCTCCCTTCTCCCTCTTTCTCCATCCCGTATCTCCCTTTCTCTCACCCTCTCTCCGTCCCTTTTTCCCTCCGTCCATGCCTCCATTTATCTGTCTGCCTATCCATCTCTGCGTCGTAGTTTAAGAGAGTTTAATACGTCCTCACATCACCAGTTCCGAGAGAAAATTAACGTAAGAGCCTTTGAGACTCTGGTTCGTGTGGCAGCAACCGTAAATGCATAAGATTCCAGAGGTGGTGAAGCCTTAGTGTGGGGGCGGGGCTTCCGTAAGAGGCATGATCACCTTAATACGTCCGAACGCTGCCTCCACCTACACGTGTCTACCTGAGAGAGAGAGAGAGAGAGAGAGAGAGAGAGAGAGAGAGAGAGAGAGAGAGAGAATGTGATCTCTATTTCTCTCAAATTTTACCAACAGTCAAGGAATTATTATACTGTTATTACATTTTTATCATTATTATTGTTCCTCTAACACTAACCCCTCACAATATTAATTCAAATCATATCCACTAATCACCACGACTAAAAAAAAAACTACTTTCGATAATTTTTTCCACTCGTGTACGATACTGTAAACACAAAGGTCCATTATGACTCCCAAATGTACGATAATTTCTTCTACGATGGTCCCGCTTGTTATATATTGTAGTTATCAAGTCTTTGTTTTCATATTTATTCATATATTTTTAACGACTTCAGTTAATCTACAACGGACTCAATTTCAAAAGCTTTAATAGTCAATGTTTCTAAATAATATAAGAACAAATACAATATCTTAAATAATAATAATAATAATAATAATAATAATAATAATAAGAATGACAATGAAAGCCTTGCCAAACTATCTTTCATAATACACACTGCAGAAGGCGCGTGGGTTGACAGCCAAATGTTATCACTGAGAGAGGCCATTAGGCAAGACGCAGGTGTGGGCAGGTGTCATACTTACTGCTCTAAAGTCTAAAGTCTTAAACCCTCACCTTGACTACAGGCGATAACTACAATACTCCCATAGAAAATTATTGCTACTACTACTACTACTACTACTACAGCTACTACCACCACCACCACCACTACCACTACTACTACAATTTTCTTTTAATCGTGGCCTCCAGCTTCCCCCAATAGCCACACCTTCGTCACCATTTTATCATTATATTAAATATCCTAATACAAAAGTAGCTACACTACCTGAGTTAGATAAGCCTACTGCTACTACCACTAACACCAAAACAACTACTACTGACAACATCTAAAACAATTACTACAACACACAATAATAATAACAATAATAATGTCAAATTTCTAACGAAGTGTTGTCACATTCAAGAACACACACACACACTGTCCATTCATTCACTCCTACTGTTGTAACGACTGTGTTCTACTGTGGTGTTTCTCTACCACAACGAAGACGCTCCAATTCCCCGTCTAGTATACCACTGTTACTTCACATAATAATAATAATAATAATAACAATAATAATAATAATAATAATAATAATAATAAAAGGATTAACTTTGATCATCCTCCTTGCCTACACACTTCGCGGGGCTCCTGGAAATAGAGTGAAGGTACAATTATTTTTCTTATCTACTCTGAGGTAACACAAAGCAAGTGGACAGTTTTAATTTCAAGTGCATCAACCGGAACCCTCTCGAGTAACTGTGAAGACTGAGAAGAGAACGAGTCATTGAAACCTTCCCAGGATTCATACCGAGGCTTCATAGTGTTAATGTCCGCTGAATAGAGCCACTGCTTTCAGAAACCTCTCGAGTGATTAAAAAAAAACATGTCATTGAACTGTAACCACATATAGTATTTATCTAGTCTGAGGAGTCACATGAGAGGGTTTCCAGAGAGACAGAGAAAGAGACTGGTAGGAAACCTCGCGTGAAAAAAAAATAGAAAAGTTGAATAGGCTTAACGTACGGCCCTTTGGTAGGCTTGGCTGTTAGGGCAGAGAGAGAGAGAGAGAGAGAGAGAGAGAGAGAGGACAAACACTCCATCCACCTCCTCGAGACACATGACCTTAAACATTATCAAAATACAATGAATTAAACGTCAATAACAACTTCAATACCTCACCCTAATGACTCATGATAACATTAAAACATCCTAGATTATATTAACAATACCACAAGACTTAAGGTAAATGAGTGGGAGAGAGAGAGAGAAAAAAGGAACATTTATTTACAATTCAATCTTTACCTTAAGTGACCCCCCCCCCCAGGCCGTCCTTCATCACTATAACGGGGTTGGGGAATTTTGGCTGGACCCCAACTCTTGCCGCCTCTATTTCACGCCTTATAGTGTGAATATATTATAAAATAGGGACATATTATACACAAGGGGGCATTGTGGTTTATTAGTGTTGAGGTAGATAAGGTAGATATTGACTTACCTCTGTATTACATAGGTTGTTATAGCAGGGTCGGTGATGGTTGAGTCAGAGCTGGTTTAGGCAGTGACTCACGCGCCAAAACTTCAACTTCTCCTCCTCGCAAAATTTTTCTCACTCACACACTTTCCCCCCGGCCAGGCATTGTTAAACTCTCCGACATTTATTCTAGCGGTAGAGGTTGGATATTCATGGTGTCAGGGAGGGTTGAGAGGGTAAAGATAGCTTAAGTCACACGCAGCCTCACCGATTCATACAATCTGACTAATGTTCAGAGGCATCTTGTTGAGATTATAAATTCGTATCAGTCTCAGAGGTTGTCTAGCTTATTTATTTTTATAGAATATGAATTTTAAATTTATGCCAAGATATGGGTTAATGATAGAGTTTAAGGAAGAGTTGGGGTATATTATAACCGCGAAATTAAAATGACCGTGAAGGTGTGATGTGAAGACCAGCTCTGGCACACATCAAGGGCTGCCTCACGCCGCCTCCGATTCCTTCAATCATTATCATAATATTCTCTATATAATGCTTCAGTCCTTCGAAAATAATATGAAAATAATAAAAATATATCTTATTTTCTAAAATATAACTAAAGAATTATAACTTCACTTATAATTACTATTATTTTTATTGATAAGTATACCGAAGTCAGTGACACTTAAACTAATCGCAAGTGAAATAAGATAACGTATACGAAAGGCCAAGAAATTTCGGCCGTTTTGGAAAGTTCAAGTGTGGTAATACATGATTCTACTTCAAATACTTTTTGTAATGCTAAAGTAATTCATTAGAATAACCAATTAGATCTTATTATTAAGCAATATAAAACGAAATAGTGTAAGCCTTGTGGCAACATTTTCAACCAATCGCGTTAGCAGAAGAAGTTCCGTATGACGTCATTGATAGCCAATAGAAAGCCACATGTCATGATATTATTTTGAGGTTTATTGGTCTATTTATATAACATGATGTTATTTTATGAGTTTAATGAATTAAATTATTGATTTAGTAGTAAATTATAGTTATATCCATATATATATATATTTTTTTTTGAAATGAGTAAATAGCAGATGTAATGTAAACAATAGGAGCTAACAGCCTACAAATCTATTTTTAATTGTTTAACTACAACACTGCCAACGGATCTAATACTTAGTAATATAATATAAATAATATTAAGACATACAACACTAAGATTTAATGGACAATAGATTGATAATTGTGGACAGTAATTAAGTGATGTTTAATAATAAACTTAGGGTCGTTGTTTATCTTCGCGGGAGAAAGGAAGGGCGACCCCAGACAACTTCCTTATTAACTCACTATTATTTGTTAATCACTTCACCCACAGTTACCGTCGTCAGGTACTAAACGATACACTGGCACGTGAATGAATGAGGAGGTGCGCCACTGTCAAGGAGTGAGGGAACAGCTGGTCTAACAACTCACAGATTGGCGAATTAGCTGACAGGTAATTTATCATTAAAGATCACCGTTTACCAACTTACAAGCCATTTGGGCGGTTAGTCACGGTTGATTATTACTTTGTTATGACATTTATTGTCCAGTGTTAATACAGGAGGAAGGTGAAGGACCTGGAGGAAACTTGTCTGAATAAAACCTTTTCTATGTCTCGGGCCGGGGACTGAACCTAAGAGAAACACGCGTTACCTCCAACAACCTAAACTATAAAAATATTACATTAAAGAGTGGGTTGATTTATTGTATTGATCTGATAATATATGTTACTAGAGGGACCACAGTGGTGTTTCCGTGACTCGGTGAATTTCACATTTTGTCACATGCACTTACATTTTTATCCTCTTCGCCACTGACCGGCTCGTTAGCCGCTTGGGCGATCGGTCACGTCCCTGTTACGCACTGTTGGCAAGTACTGGGCATGCACCGGCTCCTGAATGTACCTGAACCCGCTCCAGTGTTGGTCAGGTCTGGTCTTGAAAGGGTTCACACTCGGTGCCGTCACAACACTACCTGGCAGATTGTTCCAAGAGTTCACAACTCTCACTTCGAAAACGTTTGCCCTCTCAATTTTCTAGACCTGCGGTTTCTTCAGCCTTGAGCTGTGACCCTTTGTGGGGCGAATGTCTTAACTTACAACAATTAGACACTGGGTGTTGTTTGGTAACCCCATCACTTTGAGTTTACAATGTTCTCCTTTCAAGTGGTAAGTGGGCCACTGCTACACATCTTTGGGGGAGTGAAAACAATTCCTCACTTAACAGTGTCTGATGTGTTCATATCTGTACTTAATGGTTCAGTCTAGGTAAAATCAGATAATTCGAAGAATTGGTTATTTTCCTGTAGTCCGTGGCAGACATTAAAGACTTATACAGACTGTATATTTGTTTAAAGAGTTCATTCTAAATGGATAAATACCGTATTGTTAGATTTACAGTAAAGTAAATTAGGTTGATTTATAGAACTAAAGGAAAGAATTCATTCAACAGGTGAGCAAACATTTAAGGTAGGTTAGATCCTGACCTGACCTGACCACCCTGGCCCAAACATCCTACATTCCATTCAACAATTGACTGAGGAAGTCATGGTGAGTCATCATAGAGACATTCAGATGACCAGTTCTCTTTCATCAGGCAGAAGATAAGGCTGGAGCAATATAAGAGTTAGGGAACCTCAAGTACTATGCACATAATATAGGAAAAGGATGACATAACAAAATTTACCCATGTGTTTGTCTTTTCAGTAAATGATGACTGGAATATTAGAGCGAGTGTTCCCCTTGGAGTCGAGCTTGAGTGTGATGGACCACCACTGCCTCAGTCACTTCTCTCCCGTCCCCACAACATGTATCATAGGTCCACCTCACTCCATGAAGAGTGCAATACTTATGCAGGTGTGTATGATGAATTCCTTATGGAGTAGTTATGTTTTCAGGCCTGGGTGTATGAGTGGACACTTGACTTTCACTGCCTTGTGTGAAAATGGTTGTCAAAGTTCTGGCAGCCCATTAGAGGCAGTGTAAGTACACCTCACCAAACCTCTTATGAAAATGGAGAAATCAAGCCATTAAGCATCAGTATCCTATATAGTACAGTATACGGTAATAATGAACAGTAAGGAGGAATGGAGTTCATAACATTTAAGGCAAAACTAGTGATGGTCTTTAACTGGTGAAAATATGTGTGTAATGATGATCTTTCTTGTTCCTTTCAATATATGTCTTCATGCACTTGTTTTATTATTTTTAAACAAAAATAAATTTATAATTAATTTAAGAATTTGGGTAGAATTTTCCACAACCTAAACATTACTATTGGATTCCTATGAACCACTTTGTGTTTACAAGAGTTAATGTCCACAGGCAGCAGTGACGGAGACTGTTGAAGGAGGTTGCGTGTTGTATGTGACCCCAAATGAGTTTAGTTGTCCCCCTCCAAGTGTTCATGGGATGTATCAATCATCACCAGACCTTATGAATGAGATTAACTTCCTGTATGTATACTGAACAGTATTTGTCAGGTTTAAATTCTTACAAAACATACAATCTGTTAAATAGAGGTTTCACAATACTGTACTGTACTTATTTTATATTCGTTGTGTCATTGATATTCCTAACCTCTGTAACAATTATTTCATCTATATTCAGATACACAAGTGAGACATCTAGGCTGGAACGGTGCCTGGCAAATCTTCATTTTCTTCCTGAGATAGAAAGACCCACATTCATTATCATTGATGACCTACAATTTTATACTGCACCTCAAGATATTGGGTTTGTATTCAGTGCTCATGGTCAAATAATGTCAATGTGTTTGTAGCAGAGGTTTTAACTTACAATAATGTCTCTGTGTATTGTGGTTCTCTAAATGTAAAGGATATATATATGCCTTCAAGCTTCTTAATTTTATTTTTCTCCCAACAAGTGCCAAAGAGATCTGTTCTAAAATAAGAGGTCTGTTCTAAAATAAGACAAATATTTGGCCGAGGTACTGTACATGTGTGTCACTTTTCACGCTACTTAAGAACAAATATAAAATATTTTTTCATCAAGTTTAGGGAGTTGTTGCCTTTATTGATGGCAACAGGACCTACCTTCAAGTGAAAGGATAAATGTATGTAACTAACATGAAAAATGTAATGTAGCATTGTAATGAAACATGATGGTTAAGAGGATGACATAAACAGGCTTGAGTGAACTGGAATGAGAAAGGTGGGATGTGTAATGTGATACTGAAAGACAGGAAACCCTGTTCAGATCCAAGAGGGCAGTTGGGTATTGGCAAGTTTTGCATAGAGGTAGACTATGATGGTTTGGGCATGTGGAGAGAATGGCTGAGACCAACTGGGTGAGGAGGTGCACGAGTCTAAATGTGGAGGGGAGGAAAGCCAGGACGTAGGCCAACATTGACATGGAGAGAGATTATAAGAAATGATATTAAAGTTAAAAACCTGATGAGAAATGCTGCAAGAGACAGTGTAACATGGAGAGCTGCCATCAGTTAATCACAGCTAACCCACACAAACCGAAAAACTGCTGTGATTATAAATATGTTGAGGAATTTTGATTTTTTTTAGATAAAAAATAAGGTTTTGTGTAATGATTTATTTGGTTGTTTACTTTTACCAGAGACACAACAACACAGAAGGTCAACGCTGCTAGAGTCATCTCCTTGGCACAGGAGTATGCCGAGTTCTACACCAATACAAGGACCCGGGATACACACTCTGACGCAGGTTAATATACCTTTGGGTTAAGTGCTGGTAGGGATAACTTCTTGAGGCTAGATTTGAAGATGATACACTACGGTACTGTACACTTGGGCATCCACAGAATTTTTTCCATGGGGAGTTAATTAAAAATCAAGAGATAATGGACATACCTACAAGGTTATAACATTTGTCAAGAAGAAAGCTGTTGGGTAGATATATCACTGAGTGATAAAATTAATATTCTCTTTATTCCCCGCCTCTTTCTACAGCATGGAGACTGGCATCATTGACTGTATTTATAATTTCAGAGATTGACTTGTTTCATCAGTGTAGTGTCCTTGTTTCTTGGACAAAACGTACCTCAGATGCCATGAAGCTCAATGAAGTGGAAATATTTGCTAAAGATTTTTGTCACCATGTTTGGACCGTACATGTGGACAAGGCTCACAAGGTAACTACAGTAACATATTGTAGGCAAGTAAACTTGAAGTTCATCATCAAGAACAACAACCACAACATTTTATGGCAATTTTCCACACATGAGTTTAATATCTGTTCAAAGTAGTTGTGAAAATAATAAAATAGCAATGGTATATGCTTATTGGACTGGCAAAAAATAAAATTATTTAGCAATTTATTCATACATTATAAGACAGTAAACGTGGCAGGGTTGAAACTTGGAAGATGTGCCCAAATACAGTAGAAATACTGTAGTATCACACTTGAGGAGCACTTCCCAGCAGTCACTATGGGTTTGAGGTAAAGGTAGACTCGAGTGAAATCAAATTGGTTATATTCTGAAAAAGAAGACAAAATACTTGATACTGCATGAAATAATAAGAGTGAATTGTACATCAGGTTTTATGTAAAGGTTTTGTAGATTTAATAATTTCTGGTAAAGTGATGACACAGTTTTATTACCTTTTTGTTTCCAGAACACTGACAAAATTGTTAATATAGTTTACCCTCTTGAAAAAATATTTATATCATTTTTTTTGTTCCCCAGAGCAACATGAAGGGTTATGATCTGGTGTCAGAATGGACAGAACAAACCTGCACCATCTCCTTCAGTGCTTCTCACCCTTCTGCAGCAGAGCCATACATCCTCTTGCATGAAGTATATTTAGAAACTGATGAAATGGAAGAGGAAACAACCCAAGCAAAAGTGATGGAAGGGGAAGCAACTCAAGAAAGAGTGATGGAAGGGGAAGCAGCCCAAGAAAATGTGATGGAAGGGGAAACAGCCCAAGAACATGCGATGGAAGGGGAAGCAGCCCAAGAAAATGTGATGGAAGGGGAAGCAGCCCAAGAAAATGTGATGGAAGGGGAAGCAGCCCAAACAAATGTAATGGAAGAGGAAGCAATACAAGAAAATGTAATGGAAGGGGCAGGGCTGTCCCTAGGAGGGTGTGGGGCCCGGGGCAACTCAGCCACTGCGGGGCCCCAAAATGGTAAGGTCACGGTTGCGATGGTGGAGTATAGCCGTCAGATCAGATTTACCAGCCAACAGGTAATGTGTCCGAGGTCACCGGGACTAGTGCTGGGCCCCCCACACGTGCGGAGCCCCAGGTGGACGCCCCTGTTCGCCCCCCGTAAAGGACGGGCCCGGGAAGGGGAAGCAGCCCAAGAAAATGTGATGAATGGGGAAGCAGCCCAAGAAAAAGTGATGGAAGGGGAAGCAGCCCAAGAAAAAGTGATGGAAGGGGAAGCAATACAAGAAAAAGTGATGGAAGGGGAAGCAATACAAGAAAATGTAATGGAAGGGGAAGCAATACAAGAAAATGTAATAGAAGGGGAAGCAATACAAGAAAATATAATGGAAGGGGAAGCAGTCCAAAAAAAAGTGATGGAAGGGGAAGCAGTCCAAGAAAAGGTGATGGAAGGGGAAGCAATACAAGAAAAAGTGATGGAAGGGGAAGCAATACAAGAAAAAGTGATGGAAGGGGAAGCAATACAAGAAAAAGTGATGGAAGGGGAAGCAATACAAGAAAAAGTGATGGAAGGGGAAGCAGCCCACGAAAGAGACTTGTTGGAAGGGAAAACAGCCCAAGAAAGTGCGATGGAAGGAAAAGCAACCCAAAGCGAGGATTGCAGCAAAACTAATACTGAAGATCCTCCTCAAGGAACTTCACACTAAAGTAGGTACTGTATTTCGAGGGTGAGGGTCATAATGGGAATTCTCCAACTAGCCATTGGATACTTGCATTAAATCTCTGTTCTGATTGGTCTTTCCCATAGTCGGCATGAGTAGGTAGAAGCCAATGTTAAGCAGTCGTCCTTCTTAGCTGCCTGGAGGTACTGTAAATACATCATCACTTCCCCCTTGTGTTGGTTGCTGCTGGCTTGGGGTGTGTGTTTGAGCAGTCTGGTGGACTATGGATAAGGGCAGTCTGAGCCCTGAAGTGGGACTGAGTGGCAGGGTCTGCAGCCACAATGCAGGTCCCAGGGAGTGTAGAATGTGTGTGTGTGCTCTTGCTCGACAGAAGACAATCCTGAGAATGGGAAAGACTTTTTTTCTAGCAAGCTCCTCCTTGTTACTGTAAGATGACTTGCAGTTTTGTAATTGTTAACCCTTAGGTCCCGGGTGATGTACCAGAACGTCCTACCGGCGCCCCGGGTGACGTTCCAGAATGTCCGCCTATTCCCACCACTGTTTAAATGCCCAGCGTGGGTTATCAGGTTCCAGTGTGACTATTTGCCTGTCACACCACTCGCTCGGCCACAGGGAAGCTTCCTGAACATAATTACCTACTTTTGTTTGTTTCATTTTTATTGTTTGTCTATTTTATCATGTATCAAAGTAATATTGCTAAAAGTAGATTAGTTGTAGTGTAGTACCTGTATTACTGTAAAACAATGCTATGATTATGTTGTAAATGTATAAATTTGGGGAATTATTATTATATACATTACTTGCTCTACCAAACACAAAGATAGCCAGACAGACTGGCTACCGACTGGCGAGTGTTGCCAAGCACCTTTTTATGAAAAATAATGCAAATAAAATATTCTAATTGAATTATTTATAGCAAATAATTATTTAGATCAGTAAATATATGTATTATTGGCCACCTCGGACACAAAGGTGAGAGCTAAAAATACTGTAGCTGCTAAGTGTGTAAGGACCACGAACGTCAGCTGTCAAACCAACACTGTCTCCTTATCTCCCCCCCCGGCCAGGGAAGTTTCTAAAGGGTCAATATATAGTTTTTATTACTCATTTTTTATTGTTTTGTCGTTTAAAAAGGGGTGAAAAATTTTTTTTTTAAAGTTGATTTTTATCGATTTATCCCCGCGGTGGGGGTACTACCAGCGGTAATGTAAGGTGTCAGATTCAAAATTTATAATTGTTAATGTAAACAAACTCTTTGCAGTTTACATTTATTTTAATTTGTTTTGATGAACATGATTCTTACCGGTATATGATTACTGAAGAACCTGGACCCATAAAGTTAAAAGAAAATAGGTGATAGTTGTATTGATAAAATGATAAAAGAACCTAAACTCAGGTGATTGTTATTACTGTTTTATTTTTATTTCTAGGTAAATGAACTAATGTGTGAAGGTGCAATCTGGGAGGATGTATCTTAAGAACATTGTGGAGACTGCCTGCCGCTCAGTCCATGTATTGGAGTAGTGGGCACGGAGGAACTGTCTGCCAGTCAGCCCACTTACAGATAGTTGTTTTAGCTACTGTACAGTAACATTCTTCTATGTTGACACTATCACACTGGTCAGAATGCAGGCTTAAATCAAACACAGTTGTCCTTGCTGACTGGGAAGCAAATCTATTTTGTTCTAATATTCTGTGGTATACATTATGAACATAATCAATGTGCTTTTAGGATGATAATGATATCGGCTTTTCTAAGGAATACCGAAAGTATATTATATAAAAATAAATGTAATGAAATACATCATTTATAAATTAAATAATCAACTATTATTACACGTACAGTGAGAGAATTAAGTATCTTCCCAGGATTTTGACAAATACATCACAGAACGGTCGAGCCATTTGACAAATGCACTTGTGGTGCCCATAAGCATTTGGCAGGCCTGTGGTCAGGTTTCATCTAACTCTGGTCAAAGCGGGGAGGATATTTAATTCTCTCGTTGTACACTCGCTCCAAAAAGTATCTTTACGGAGACGTGAATTTCAAAATGAACACCACGACTCCCGTTGTCTTGGTAGGGTTATCAAAATCCTTCATATTGTCTTATACAAAATCGTAATGATACTTTTTGGAGAGAATGTACCTTCTGACTTCTCCCAAATACGGTATGAAATATTCTGAGAGCCATGTACAGTACAGTATTTTTTTGTATAATAAAGGATAACTTTTCTAGCAAACTGTTTGACATTTCTGATCTACAGACAATGTTATGGTGACCATCGTCTTAAACATAATACAGGTATCCCTCAAGATACGAATGGGTTAGGTTCCAAAAACAAACATTCATTAGGTGAATTTATATATTGCAAATTGATACGCATATGAGAAAAATAGGGTTTGGTTCCCTAATGACAAAAATGCCCCAAAACACAAAATAGGTTCACAAACAGAACAAAACCCATTTAACTAATGATAAATAGTACACAACTACTCTAATTTACTACCTAACACATGAAAAAAATTACTGTCTAACCTTGGTGCAGTCTGGGAGGGCAGTCTGGGCTCACCACTACAAGGGTTGTCCACCTCATCACAGCTGTCTGCTAAGGACACCACAGCATGCTTGTAAATTGTGGTCACAGTAGAAATGGCCAGACCAAGATCTTTCCCAATCTTGGTAGGACCATCACCGTTTTCATGACACTTAATTACTTCCAGCTTTGTCTCAAGCCACAGCCTTCCATGGTTTCTTCAGTGTAATACAGAAGTAGCTGAAGAGTTGGCAGAATGCTTGGATGGCACGAATACACATGGATAAAGAGATATCACTTCACACACACACACACAACAAATGGCGTGTGAAAGGACGCGAGCTTGTGGGAGGTGCAGTAGGGGTGAGGGGATGATCAGTGAATGAGAATACATCTGTGCATCTCTTCCCCCAGATGGCCCCAAATTCGTGTGAGGGAAGCTTTCTCATCTCAAAATAGCCGTGTCAATTTATGAAATATGTATAAGTGATTTTTTTTATCGAGAGATACCTGTACTTAACACTTTAGCCAAGAATAAAAACACGTTAATACCTGAACTGTGTCATACTGAAAAAACAAATTTATATCTATGATGTTTGGTATATTTCTTTCAGTTATGTACCGGGTACTAATTCCCACCAACAGATGACTTCATTAATGGTAAGTTAGCCCAGAGCTGTTCATTATGACAACCTAGATTTCACTGCTTTACTGTACAAAATAAAGTTAGCTTGGTTATGCTACAGTACAAAGGAGTTGATCATCCATAGAATAAAAACTTCCCTAATTCCCATACAGTACAGTATGTCTTTTACATTCACTAAAATAAAGAAAAAATAAACATGAAACAAAATTCTCTCACTTAACCAAAATCACTATAGACAATACAGGAAAGCCTCCGATAACGGTGGTTCTACTAACGATTCATATTTAAAACCCTGGTTAACTTAGGATCCAATTCTATTTACATCGTTATTTTATTCATATTTATGACGAAAATAGAAAATAAAATATAATTACATTTTCATATAAATAATAACTAAATCCCGATATGTATCATACAAATAAAAAAACATGCCTTGCGCACGGATGCTGCCGGGCTTGTGAGTGGTAGTGCCAGTATCACTAGTTAAACAGTCACAGCTGGCGGGCCTTTTGTTTTCACGCATCTGAACAGGAACGGGAGAAAAACTTTCTCAGGTTTCGGCATTTTTTGTGTCCCTATTCAACATGAGCAAGAGAGCAAGTGATGATAGTGCTGGTTCAAAAGCTAAAAGAAAGTGTATAAGCTTAGTTGAGAAACTAGATGTGTTAAACCTATATGAAAAAAGGTAAAAGGTCTGTGGATATTATATGGAGCAAGCAATGAACATATTTTCTGAAATGGCTCTATTAGCAGAACAAAGCATTAAAATTAACCAAGCATGAAAAACGCTTATGGCCCCTACATAAAGATGTATAATGAGAAAAAGAAAGCAGCTGTGCAAGGTTCTTTTTACTTTTTTATTATTTGAAGGCCTAAACCATCAACTTCAGCTTCACCATCAACTTTAGGTTCAGCTACACCATCAAATTCAGCATCAGCAGCACCTTCAGCAACAACTACAAGTTCAGTAATAGCTTCAGGTTCAGCAACAGCTGTGGCATCTTTATGGAAAGCTTCAGCCAAAGTTGAACCTGATGACTTAGGAACTTCGTCATCTGATTAAAAACTCACACATCATCATTGGCTGTCCTCATCTTTTAGACTTTACCACCATTGGTGAGTAGAATTAGTATTATTTAAAGCATATATGAACAGTAATAAGTGTTGCTTTCATATTCCTATGAAGAGAAATGATATGTTTTTACGTGTACACACTTGCATACATTGGCATTGCGCAATCTGTCTTGCTTATTTTCTTTACTATCAGTGGTTAGCTACTATTGTTCCATTTCTTTTTCATTAAATAACATTAATTAAACATAAATAGTCTTTTTTTACATTAATTTTACTACAGCTACAACCAGGGTCTTATTTTCTTCAGTTTCATATGTAAAACCATCGTCATGGGTGTAAACACTAACAAAAACAATACCGCCTCGTCTCCTCTTGTGTGTTTTAATATTCTACGTATTGTTCATTTCGCATCCATAAACATCAATTCAATTAAATAGATATTCAGTAATAAACAATAATGAATCTTTTGTACATATTCTTAATAAGAAAAATGAAGCTATATTTTCATGAGTGCACACGTACACGTTGGCCTTCTGCTATCAGTCTCACTTCTTTTCTTTACCATCAGTGGTTACTTCTACTGTATATTAAATAACATTAATTAAAACATACAGAAACAACCAGGGTCTTATTTTCTTCAGTTTCAGATGGATAACTAACATCATGGGTGTAAACACTGACAACAACAATGGCATCCCATCTCCTCTTGTGTGACATTATTATTATTGATTTATATTGTATAAGGTGCATTCTTAAACATTATTTAAAGAATCGTTTGCATTTTTAATTAATTTTATTGTTTTGGGGGAAAGCCACACAAAAGATATGAAAAGATCAGACTAGGGAATGCATCTCATTATCATTGCCCTATTTTAATGCAATATTGGACATTATCGTCATTATTCGAGGCTTTACTGTTTATAAACTACAGTATTAGTACTGCATAGTTGATAAAATGTTTCTCTTTCTAATGTGGCATTTCCATTCTACAATGGCTTAGGTAAAGAAAAGGAAAAAACCTTAGTCTTCACCCAAGGAAGTGTCAAATAAAAGAGGGCATTTTATAGAGCTTCTGTCTTAATGTTACTGTTCCTACCTAAAATCTCCAAAGAATGTGATGTTAACAGAATTCCAAGAGAAGTTCCCTTGAAATGGTAATAAATTTCTAAACCATCATGAAGGTCCCAGTGTCATAAGTGGCCATACAGGACTCAGGTCATGTGATGGGGATGCAGTACTGATTACCTCGGACGATGTATCAGTGGCTACTACTGCAAGAGCTCCTTCAGTCAACCTGAAATCAAGATTGTAAAACTAAACACAACGAAATGACAGGTACACCAGCATTAAGAATGATTGAATAACAGTGGATGTGAGAAGAATGTGTGTGTAGACTTATGTGTCAGCCACCTTATCCTATAACACAGAAAAAAGAGACCTGTAAGTGGAAAACATATAATATGTGATCCACACATCCTCTCCCTCTTCTGAACCCACACTGCTTTTCCCCTATACAGTACATGGACACATTCTCTATGAGCTACAATTCTCAAAATGGTGGTCTTCAAGGTGCACGTTCACTTGACAAACTCAATCCTCTATGATTTTCACATTATTACCATTCCCATCCCTTAGTATTATAAACCTATACTGTAGACTCTTATCATCCATTCTAACCCTTCCTTATATCCTTTATGAGTTGAATCCTCCACACCTGGTGCTTTATCTTTCTTAAATTTAATTACATCCAATCTCGCCTTCTGCACTACTGGATCCTTCTATATGTGCCTCACACTTTTAGTTCCTCATGTTCATTAGTGCATGAAAACTTAATTTATCATATGAACACTGACAAAATTTACATTTATTATTCAGCAAGGGCAACAATAATGCCCCTTTGGCTAAAACTGTCCCCAAGGGTAATAAACCAAAGTCATTTACTTCCATTTTGAAAAGTCTACTTAAGCCTAATGTAAGGACATAACACAAACCTGCACGTAAGAGGAATCGGTGAGAGGCATCCACGGTTTACGGAAATAACTGGAGTCCAGAGTGTTGTTGTGACCACTGTTGAAGTCCATCAGGTGTTTGCTGGCCTGTGACAAAAATAAACATGAAAACCTGAATACCCCGAAGATACTGAAAGGATCCTCAAGTGTCAGGTCTCCATGTTTACAAAATTTCTTTGTGGAAATACATAATGTAATTTGCCCAAGATTGCCTATGATGTGTTTGTGTGATTATTCATGAATTCTCAGACAATAAATCAGTGTGACCATACTTAAGATTCTGAAAAATATAATGCAAACAAGTTTGTTTAGAAGAGTTCAATGAAATTGATGCCTGGCCTGGGCTGAAAAAGTGAAGTTACAAAGAGCATTTGAGGAAATGTGATATGGTCTAGTTTCAAAATGATAAAAGGAATATGTTATGAAGAGGCTGCTCACTCTGAGATCACACATAATAGCATTACTAGAGGTCACAGCTTTAAACAATTCAAGCACGTACGCATGCACGCGCACACACAATGTGGGTGTATAAAACAGTTTACATGAAAGGTCAAGAAGTTGTATTCAACTAAAGGGCCTACAATAAAAAGGAAGCACTGTACTTACAAGATACAGGAGTAATTTGGTCTTGTCATCATCGGTCATATCTTCACCAATAGTGAATGGGTAAGACTCCCCATGTTCTGTGATGTAGGTAGCCAGCAGTGTTGAGCACAGGTCATTGTCCACCCCCCACTTATCCATGATGGCCCCTGAATCAAAATAATAAGTTTGATAATACTGTACCTTTACAACTAGTCACATTAAGGAAAAAAAATCAACTGTAAGTGCCAATTAAGACAATCTTATATCTGTGATGTATTTGTTTTGGTTTTGTCTCCTGTCTTCCTCCAGGGTACAGTATCAAAGCAGATGTGAGATCAGGAAAGTCAATTTAATCTTGTTCCATCCATTGCTCCTGTTATATTTTTAATTGTTTTACCCATTAGGATTTAGGAGTGAATATTAAGTAGCTACGGTAATACTTTTGCGAACGGGGGAAGAGCAGCATTATAGGAATAAGGTTGAAAGTTACTAAATTATGTGGGTCAGAGGACGATGCTGTGTTCTTATTTTACTGTAAATAAAATATCACGATCAAGCTATACAATCTAGTGAATGGTTTCCTTGGGTGTAGTTTCACAGAATGGAGTTATATTAAATGTCATCCTCGACTGTCAACTGGAGGTAGCTGGGACCGTCTACAATTCAGCGGTTCCCAACCTCAGGTTGCGATCCAAATGAGGGTCGCGGGGTGTCCTCAGTAGGGTCGCAAGTGGCCTTCAGACAATTTAAAAAATATAGTACTTATCATAGTCAAACAAATTTTTGCTTAACATTCAAGCTATATAATACTGTATATTATATGCCTAAGGGTCATGACACCGTATTGTTGGGAAATTTAGGGTCGCAGCCGAAAAAGGTTATATATTAACCGAAGATGTTATTTCAGAGTAAGTCTACTTGATGGGCCAAAGGAGTTGAGGTGCTGCTGAGAAGAGATTTATCAGTAGTGGCCATAACAACACATATACAGTGCTGTATATACACCTGCCACTTGTATATCCCTTCATGGAAGTATAGTAGTGTTCCTAACAATTCTTCTCTACTTACCCTGATGTGTGGTTTCTTCAGACAACCATTGGGAGAGAACCTCAGTGGACTGAATGCACAGCAGCTCCGGGTATCTAGTACGCACCAGTTTCATTAGCAAGTCATTGCTACGATTGCAACTTAGCTGAGTCTCACTGGAAAGACAAATAGATTTAACCTATTCGTAAATATATGCGAGTAATATATACGGGAGAGGGCTTGCATGAATTAGTGTACTGTAGCACTGGGAGAGATCACTGTACAGCACTAAAAAATAAAACAAAACTCACTCAGTAGTGATTATCTCATCCCTGGTGCGCCGGATAATGGTAACAGGACCAGAGTAGAGACAGAGCTGGTCCCCTGGGTTGAGGTTTAAGTAGTTGCGTATGGCTGTGGTCACAATGCTGCCCATGCATGCAGGCATCCGAGGCAGAGCCAATGGGAGGATGTCGTCAAATGTAGCATCAAGGACCAGTCCACGTATCTGGGGTTGTTACAATAATTGGTAAATATCACAAAAGTATTCAATAATAATCCTAACAGAAAAGTCTATTTGCTAATGCTTACAGGAAGAGATGTGATAATTTACTCAAAACAAGTCTATGTTAAAGAGAAAACTGTGGACTTTTGTTTTTGAAGAATCTAAACAGGTGACAGAAAGAACACCCAGCATATATAAAGCAACACACGTGCAAAATCCCTACAAAACTAGAATGAATTATCTTCAAGAACCATCAACAAATCTGAGACTTAAGAAAGTTACTCTGATATTTTTAACTTCATACAGTTTCAGAACAATCTCAACCAAACATAACCTAACCTGAGGATAGTTCATGGCTGCCCAAGTGCTGCTGTATCCACCAATGCTCCAGCCATAAATGATGATGTCCTCTTCTCTAAAGCCCAAGCCGTGGATGGCAAATTGTATTACTGCATCGACAGCATTCTGTTCTTGACTTGGATATGGGGATCCCTGGGAATATAATTGGAGGTGTAAAAAGTACTTCATTTTCATTACTTAAGTTGAAGTACTACAAGTAATTAGATAAAAATGTACTTCAGTTAATGTAAAAGTAATAAAAATGTACTTCAGTTAATGTAAAAGTACTGTATTACAGCAATCCTATATAATGCTTAAATTAAGAGTAAAAAGTGCTGTCCCAGTAACCCTGTCAATTATACCGTAGAACTTCATTACTTCACCTCTCACATTTCTGCCAATGAAGTTCTTCACCCATTGTAGTCCCAGTGAGTGAATGAGTCAGTCAGTCAGTCAGTCAATCAGGATCTACATTCATAGAGTTGGTTGATAAAATTAAGAGGCAGTGTAGCTACTCACTGTACTGGCAGCAAAGCCTGGGTGGTTCCATCCTAGGACTGAGAAGCCCGCCTCCAGGGGTGTAGACATTAGCCCAACTTCGTAGAAACCAGCATTCCCCTCACAGCACACCACCAGGGTCTTCCCATTTGGATACTGTTTTCTGTTAAATTTTTTACATCAAATATGTAAAATAATTAATCAAGTTTATTACAAATTTCTCCAATCATGATTAACAATTACAAAAAGAAATTTCAACGTAATATTGTCAGCACAGGAGGGAGGATCAGTGCCCTCTGACTAATATGGACATGGTAAAGTGGATCAAATAAGTGACATATAGTACAACTCCCTTGTGATTATGTCCTAATTCACTGAGGGCAGGTGACTTTCCATCCGTTACTGTTCTATTTATTTACACTTTCATATTATGTACTTATGACACAACAACATTACCCCCTACACTGCCTTCTAATATCTTACTGTGCCCATACCCACATTACTTACTACATCACCCCTATTACAGCCATTCCCAGCAATCATAAATACCCCCCTTCCCCACCCCCTTCAGTGTTCAGTCTCTCTATCTACAGTCTGAGACATTTAATTCCTCAAATACTCTTAGATACACAACATTGTCTCTATGTAATATACTAACTTTTTTTGTCTGTCCACCAACATCGTGTCAATGCTGTTTCCATCCCGGGTGGTGACCTTGTGGCGGAGTCCACCTTGTTCCCGTATCAATTTCTCTCTCCCTTGCTGAAGATGGTGGTCTGAAATGCCAAATTGTTAGTTAAGTTTAGAAAAGGATCTAACGAGAATAAGTAATGAATATCAGGGAACATAAAGACACTAACCCCTTGAGTACAATAATGACTGTTAGGTTCTCATACTCAATGGTATAATAATATCAGTACCTTTCCATACACCTTCTCAAATCTTTTCACATATAATTACAAATATGCCAAAGACAGTTTAGTATAATGGAGTGTAAATATTATCTAACAACAATACTTATTTATAATTGTTTCCGTCGTCATGTGCTCAGTGGAATCAAGGGATTATGTGGGGAAGAGATAAGCACAAACAATGTAGAATGAGTGACAAGCATAAGAACAATCCACAAACACTACTTCAATATCTCTACAACTCTGCTTAATAAATGAACAAGTGGAGATGTAGGTCATGATAATGGTGTCTTCATAATAAAGTAGTATACAAAATGCAGTATTGCATGTACAAGTAGGTAACTCACCGACAACCACCTGCATTAAGCGTATAGATCCTGGATACACCATCTTTTTCCCGATCAGGATGGTGAGAATCCAAGCCATTAACTGATGCGGCATCGTCACCACCTGGTTTATGATGCCGCCCTTACGACTAGCCAGTCCTCCGTCTACGTACACGCGAGGTTTGCGTTCATACCTGAAGGATAATACTGGGTTTGAGAACACTTGTTGTATAACCTTGTATTTGTATCTAATGTGGTGTGGAGGATACAGCCACATAATGTACAGTATTAGATGAGTTACAAACAGTTATTGTGTGAAGAATGTTTTCCCAGACTCCCACTTTATAAATTGAGGCATATATATATATATATATATATATATATATATATATATATATATATATATATATATATATATATATATATATATATATATATATATATATATATATATATATATATATATATATATATATATATATATATATATATATATATATATATATATATATATATATATATATATATGTACAGTACTTGTAAAAACATAAATACACAGGTACAGTACCACCCAAATGTCTTGCCAGTATTTCTCAGAGTATGATCCTTCAGTCAGAGGGACTTACCTGGTACAGTACATCCTCTCACATGAAAGGGACTTACCTGGTAGATCCTTTAATCTCCATGACAGTTGGAAAAGCTGGAAGGGTGAAAGTGCTCTGATATGGCACTTAAGTTGTTTTCTAAGACACTCTGTTATCCCACTAGGCCTCTCTTGTGTTGGGGCAAGTGTTGAGCTTACTGTATTTATCTGAAGACTTGTTCACACATGAGTCACCTAATCAAAGCATCTGGATACAGTATAAATAAATTGAAGTTGATGTCACATGAGGAGAAGCTGTACATTAAAAGACAAATAATAAGATCTTTTCCAGCCAGCTTAAGTCTGTTATTTCAGACACAGTTCTGTACTGAAAGTTACGTAGAGACTTACGGGTCTGCCTCAGTCCAGTCGAAGTTAATGGGCCACGCTGAGAAGTCAAATTCATACTTGCGTAGAGGTTCCTGGAATTACAAACATCTTGAACAATATGTTCTAGTCAACAGAGTAACTAAAATATTGTACAGTCAACCTCCAGGCACAATGGTAAATTAACAATCAATATCTACAATTCAATACAATTACATACCTTAATTACATTTCTCCTTTAACTCATAGTGATATAAGGTATGACAAAATAGTCAATTGCTTTACAAAATACACCATAAACAATTACAGCTGTGATCACATCCCAACCAATGCTACTAAAACCACACAAGGACGAGTGTGTGGCGGTCGACAAGTTTAATACACATGCGATGTGTGTACGCAAGAGTGGACATATGGTACCATTATAAAATTATTACAGGGACACTGACTGCACACTATTGAAGTTTTCCTCCATGTGAGACCTCTTTTGATAGCTACAGTCTCAACCAATGTCTTGATTCCTCCTCTAACACAACTCTCTCAAACACTCCCTCACTCTCCACTTATATTTAAATCTATTTTCCATTCATAACTTTCACTCCGACTCAGTATTACTTAATCAACTGAACTGCTCTTCATTTCAATTCCTTCCACCTATCTATACTGTACTGTAGTATGTATATTCTGAATATTCATCTTTCAACATTCCACTGTTATCTTTATTTTTACACAGTACAGTACAGGACATAAAATTCTATTAACAAACACATACCATCTGTTTTTCTATGGGTTTGTTTTGTTGAGCATTAGTCAGGATGTTGAGGAAGGTCATGTAAGTGGGGTTGAGGCGACGACCAATACCTCGGAACACAAGAGCCACAATCAGGAGCAACCCCAGACCTGTTCCACACTGAAAAACCAACATCACATTTCATGCCAGTCAGTCATAAGCTGCTTCAGTACAAGGTGCTCAAAAAAAATTTCCTACTTTATCAGAACTGGTATTCAGAGATAACTAACACAACTAAAGATTTTCTATAATGAAGAGGAATTACTTGGAGGAAAATGTTGTGTTCCATCTGAATTATGAATAAAATGGTCACATTAAAAAAAAAAATTACTGTTGCAACTAAGGTGCTTAAAAACTTACCATCAAAGGTAAGTTATATTGAACACATAAAACATCAACTATCATGTTCGAGTTTTATATAACACACAAGACATCATAATTATACTGTACTGTACTAGTAAGAATGGTGTGTACTGTATTCACCCACAGATGGTGTCTACACATGTAAATCCATCTATCCTGTAATCTTCATCATACAAAGAGCAAAACACATTCCTTCTCAATAATATTAATAATCACTATAATCCTTTAAGAATCTGCCATTTCAAATTGATATAGTATTGGAGTTAGTAATACAAGACACTACTATGGTGACCTTCAAGTGGAGTCCATCATTTGTTGTGTACAGTAATGCTTCCATATATTATTGTACAGTATAGTTCTTCATGCTATCATTCACTGTATAATTGTTTATGCAATCATAATTCACAGTATATAAAACACTTTTTACAAGTATCCTTCATTATACAAACTATCACTCTCATTAACCACCTGAGGGAGCAAACACCTTACCTTGGCTGCAGACACATAGGTGAAGTGCTGCGCCCATCGATCAAACGACAGCGCAAGCAATGGCGAGGTACACAATCCAATGTTGTACAAGATGTTCAGCTGCAACAACAATAAGCTAGGATGTAATAATAGAAGGAACATCATCTAGGGAATCCGTTATAAGTTGTTTCACTATTACAATACATACAATATGTTACAGAATATCAAGCAGCCAGCAGGATAAGACAGGTTGGTAAGACAATTTTCCTTGGACATTCCCTAATATGGGAGAACCACCTCGTCCCCTTAACCTACACTAAAATCTGTGACAAAGTTAGCTACATAAATACTTACCCCTTGCTTGATCTTGTTTCCTATCTTCTCCAGAGCATTAGGAACATACACTTCACTCTGGAAAATATAAATACACACCAATTACCATATTTGAGGACATTTGGTTAGGTTAAGAGTTTTTATGTGACAAACTTACCTTATTCACGGGGAACTGGGAGAATATATTGCCTTCTGCATGTGGTTTTACATTATTTCCTTGTCCTAATTTGCTGGATGCCTAACTTTTAATGTTAGTTTATTATTATTTTATGCTATTTATCCATGTAGGTAAATGACAGCTTGTATGGAAAGGTGTGCATTGTGTCTGTCTCAACCAGTCTCTATTGCATTAAGCATCAAATATTGAGCAAAATTAGACCAAAATTGTCAGCCAAACTAGCAACAGTCAAGGTCCAAATATTTACCATACCCTGAGATATGAGTTGTAGGTTTGGTTCATTAGGTTTGTTTGGTAAAAACTGATTCCTCCACAATTTTATGGATGTCCTTGGTAACTGTGAAACATACTACCAGAGAACATGATCAACACTCACCTCATCCACTTCTAAAACTCGTAAAAAAAAACCTACTAGACTGCCTTCAAATATGTTTAAGCCTTTAGGCAAAAACCTGTTCTATTTCCCACATCTTCAGTTAAATACGAAACACAACTACAACACATTATACAACTACCCATATCCATAAACCACAACTACATAAACCCGGTAAACCACAACTGAGTATTAAACTTAAGAAACCATACAAATAAAACAGGACCAAGGAAGGAGACAGACACACACACTCACTTCAACATGGTGGGGGATCTGTCCATATATCTTATACAGCCTCGGGCCCACCACACAACTCCATAACCGTGTCATGGTAGTAGTGGTAGACAGGTGGTAGACAGTGTGGGAGGAGTGATGGTGGTTACTGTCCGTCACTGGCCAAGACCGTCACTCACTGTTGTGTTGTGGTACTGTCTGTGGCCCTCACCCTCCCTCCCCCCCCGTCACTCCTAGGAATTTATTTTCAAATACATTAAATCCATTACTACATATACAAAATTACTTAACTACTACAAATTTACTATGAAAATTTCGTCCAATCACTTCACTTTAAAAGAAATACCCTACAACTAATATAAGAACAATATTTTTCCTTTATCCCCTTGGCTACTCTTCTGCTGTGGTCGATCATGACTCCATTACACATTACCGCTGTCCTACCAAAACTGATTGTGATGTATACATGTTTACAGGAATGAGAAGTTAAAAATAAGAGGAAACTGTATATTGTATTGTGAACATTTGTACTTTACTCTACAAGGGTAATAAATGTATAACAGTGTATCGATGGGTAAACAATGTACGATGTAGTTACCGTGCACATACAGTCATTATCGTACATCACAACACAAGGCACGAGGTTCACCAAAGGTTAATTTACATTTTTTGTTCTTGTTATTAATGTTACAGAAAAAATTTTGTTCGTTAATCAGTAATTAAGAACCACTGCTACGTATTTCTGAATCCACTTAAAGCTGTAAAGAAGTTAGTCCGGTACAGTATACCTAAGAAATAAGCCCAACCCTGTGGCCTGGACTGACAAAGAGGAACTCTCAGTTATTCCTCAAATTAACAAGTAGGATGGTGCTTGGCGGTTAATTATGCTGGCCCATCGTATCTGTCACACGGTATGTCGCTTCTGCCTGTAAAGTCATATATGACTGATGGTGTTACCCAGCACAACAACAGGTAGAGGTTGAGGCCACTGTAGCGTCTTCGGAGGTCCCCGTACTCAGAGGGCTTCTTGTATATAGCACACACGAGCAAACGTCTAGATTTTTTGGTCAACATAGCACCAGAAAAAAAAATGGAATTGAACCAAAATTTGTAGACTAATATCATGATCCTGAGCACAAAAATGGGTAAATTTCCTGATTAACACCCAACTCCCTTTGAAGCTTAAAATATTATTTTTCCTAAGGTTTTTAGTGCGATTCATTTGATTCTAACATCCATTTCTGTCGGAAATCACTTATTTCTGAGTTATGAATCCCCAAACTTAACCTAACCTAATCGAGAATTAACCATTGTTTACTGTGATGAAAACTCGGGCTGAGGTTGAGGATCCTGATTGTCTTCAGAAGCTGCGATAGGAGGTAACTGTCGCTCTCAGTCGCCTTCCAAAATAAATGCTTTAAAAAAATCAATATTTTGACAAGTAATTTCCAACAGATGTTTATAGAAGAAAGTTGCTTAGAAATGAGTAAGGTAAGTAGTAGGGCCATTAGTATTGTTGTGCGTGACCTGGGTGTTAATACAGATAAATTCCCAAAAATGGAAGTTGGTTACGTAAAGTTATGTCGGGTTCTGTGCATCCTTGCTTCCATTTTTGTGTTCTTGGAGCAATCTACCAGAGAACCTTGTGATGGCACTGAGTGAGCTCCTTCAAGACCAGACTTGACTAACACTGTAGCAGGTACAGATACATTCAGAAACCAATGCATGCTCAGTACTTACCAACAGTGTAACAGAGACATGACCGACTGCCCAAGCGGCTAATGAGCCGATCAGTGGCAAAGAGGATAAAAGTAGAAGTAAACTGTTGACAAAATAATCTAGTCATTTATGCATATACTGTACATTAGCTATGTACAAGGGGAACTCTGAGAAAGCCACAGCCACCGTCCATGTATACAGTATATATATTTTTTACCTTATTTACCTAGTGGCCACCCACTAGAGGTGGCCATGGTGAGGGAAGGAGGCCAGTGGCCTGTGTGTGATCCCCCTCCATTATTCTTGATAATTTTGTTAAGGGATATTTTGAAACCCAGTACTGCTCTTGATTCCACAGCTTGGGCTGGTAGGCCATTCCATAGGTCTACCAGCCTCTGTGTGAAGAAGTGTTACCTTATATTCGTTCTGCATGATAACTTGGTGAGCTTGTAGTTATGTCCCTTTGTGTTGGTGGTGAAGGCATTACAAAGAAATGTCCCTAGTTCACGTTTTCCGTCCCTTTCAGGATTTTGAATGTTTCAATGAAATCTGCCCTGTTGTACCTTGTCTGAAAAAGTAGTTAGTTGTCTCATTACCCAGAAATCTCTCATCCCCGGAAGAGCTCTCCACCAATTATTCCAGCTAACGGGATATCACTGTAATTGGAGCATTTAATAATACTGTATACACACATGCATAAAAAACGTGTATACAGTATACAGAACTCAAAAGGTTATGATGTACTCACAGTGTGTACAAGCATTAGCAGTAGTACACATGCATGTGTACAAAGTAAAAACTACTGTATATGTACTTGCATTGCAACACAATAAATTTTCAGAAGTGTTATGTTAGTCAGTGACAAATACAAAGTACCATAAATGTAAAAAAAAAAAGGTAACTGATTATAAATTATTTTATTAATTTTATCAACAAAGCATTTACAATGTAGAGAATAATAATTAAAGTTATATATTAATATCTTGAATGTAAAAATAAGATGGTATTTGCATCAAATTACAAAAGTCTTAGGGAGATGGATGATTAAGATGTCCTTCTTAACGTGGTGTACACTATCCATGCACTAAACCCCGTCGATACCAAGGCTCCTGACCTGGTAAAAGAGAACATATACATTTTGCTTGTACTTCTTTGTTTAATGATGAATTCTAGATACAGTTTATCAAACTGCGGACAACAGATCCTTAATCAGCATGTTCAGGAGTACATATATTGAGATTATGAACAAAAACAGTGTGATCAAGATTGTGGGCAAAACAGGAAGCCTTAACTTTATGTAGGGAGGCTCGAAGCAAAGAGAATATTCATCATATATTTTTCATTTTTACTTATTATACACGAGTGTACTCTGTTAGGGTGTGCACTATCCACAACAAGGCCCAAATATCTGGTTCAACTCATTTGCTTTACACAGACAGCAATTGTAACTACTGTATTCATATAAATACATACCAGGCAAGGGTTCTTATAAGGGGTGAATGCTTTAGTCTTTTGTAGAGCTGGGCCTTCATACGGCTATCCTCTGATAGGTTCATCAAAATGTCCCTCACACTGAAAAAAGTTAAAGAACAGAAAATAGATACGGTGCAGTATGGATTGAACTTTTCAAATAATAACATATACATATTAGCATGCATAAAAGAACAGTGTGAACTTCCAAATGGAACTTTCCTTAAGTTCCATTCCAAAACTTCAACATCTAATGTTGAAATCCATTAGGATATTTACTCGAGATCTACATTATCTTGGTTGCCTGAAAGCAAAGTAGAAAATATGCAAAAAGAGATGCCAAAGATTGTCAGCTTTGGGACCACTAAAAAGAGATGAACAAACAAAGAAACAATTTATATTAGGTTTTGTGGGTTTAGCTTTACATGGTACATTATCTCCTTCATAATCCCTGTTTGTTGTTGGAAATTATAGTAAAAGGATGAGCAAGAGCTGATAACCTCATGTCTTGATATAGCTATTCAACATCATGAAGTAAGACATAGCAAAATCAATCCACAAAAAAAGATCTTTACACTACCCAAGTAAAGTATTTTCCAGTGTAGTGATTCCATGGGTGTTAATGCAAGCTGGGCTAACTTACTAAGGCATACCCATAAAACGCAGACTGATATATAGAGTCAGAATTATTTCATAAGCATCTCACCATTTCCAGTTAGCTGTGGCAACCAGGACTGAACTATTGTTGCGACGAATAACATCAAGACTTCCATACTGCGCCAGTGTTGTTGACACCATGCCAGGTGTAACTCTCACTGATCTGTTTCGAGGTTCAACAAGTAGCCAGGGAGGGCGTTTGGATCTTGGATCCCTGCCAGTCAGTTCCTTGAAGTGTATGATGAATTTCAATACAGAATTTAATTTGATACATTAAAAAAGATCTACAATGGCTATACAGTACAGTATAGAAGTTATATAAAAGAACCAAGGTTAGTGAATGGGTTGTAGTTAAGAGCAGTGTACAGGAACCTACACACACACACATATGTAAATTTCTAAGACTAAAGTGAATAATTATAAAAAGTAAAAAACTGCAGTAATATAAATTAATAACTTGAGCAGCAGTACCAGAATCAGAGAAGTGATTAGGTAAAAAAGGTTTGGATGGAAAGGTCTTTGGTCTTTACAAAGACAATTGGAAATTTGTTTTTTAAACAATGACTTATACTCAAGTTATACTTGTTTATTATACCATGGAATTTAGAGTCAGCCCAGGGAATCTACTGAGTGGGTCTGATGCTGCAGATGAGGAACAGGTTGAGATCAGACAGGTATATCTCCCACTGTTGGCTGGGTCTTTAAGACAAGCCAATGAGAATATTGTAACAGTACTGTACTGTACTGTATAATACTAGTACTGGGACACCCTGGACATAAATAATACATTGCCTATAGCTGGCCCAGTACTGGCATCATTCCACCACCAAGTCCCTAATGATGTGAACATAAAGAGAAGAGGTTCATCCAGGAGGTGAATCAAAGAAGTTACTAAATAATTAACGGTGGAAGAGTCTTGGGATGACCATAGAAGACTCCCATTAAGGACCAACTGTCTGTGACAAAGAAGGAGTGAATGAAGATAAAAATCTCACTGAAAAATGAACTTAAGAGCAAAGTGAACATGTTGAAACATTTAAGCAATATGGAAGTCTTATTATGACCAGAGGATAAATGAATATATAATACAGTAGTGTTTTGTTCACCTTGATGGCTGTTTTACTAATTTTTTTTTATGAAAGAAGCAGGCATGATGCAAACATAAATAAATAAATACAATTTAATTTCTTAAATCACTCAAATGTTCAGCAGTATGCCTTTGCAAACTGAATAGTTAGTAAGATAGTTAGTGTAGTAGAGTTTACATTACTTGACAGTATAGGGATGGTTGACAATGTGTTCAGAATACTGTACTGTACTGTACTGTACATGGCCACAGCTCAAGTTGTGGTCAAAAACATTAACAGAGGGAAGTTGAAGAAACTGAACAACTAATTTTCATAAAGGAATTTGAAGAAGGATCATACCATGTAACTAATTGTTGCTCTTGGTATATGTACACGGTTTGCGAAGTTCTTGAGTGCGTACACATGTTCTTGTGGACTCAAGGGGCGATGCTGTAACCTCCTGGGAGAAACCTTTAGAATTAACAGTGTTGTGAGCAACAGTTGTCTTTGCTATAATTTTTAAACATATATATACTGTACTGTACTGAACTACCCGCCAACAAATTGTAACAAAATATTAGAGTCTTAAATGTTAGCTTTAAATGTAATACTGTACAGCAAACTCTCGAAGATTTGGACCTGGTAAATCCGAATTTTGGAAGATTGGGACAAAATTTGGGGGTTCCTGGGGCAAAGAAGCATTTCCAAAACAGAGCAAAGATCATCTTAGGCCCATGTAACTAAGATGTCAGCGCGCGGGACACAGATGCCCAAGGCCGGAAACATAAACCCAACAACCCAGGTTGGGTTGTCAATTGTTGTTTGTGGAAATATTATTTCAATCACTCTAGTAATGATACAATGATTCGTATTAATATCGTATGTAAATGCATGATTTATATAATTTGTTTATCACTGAGCCCGTCACTATTTTTAAATTACACTACTACAAGATATGTAATTCTCCCATATGTACGCCTGGCAACGGGAGCAGTAAGGGTAGCGAGTAACTGTGTTTGCTGATTAGTGCGTTGACTGCTGTTGTAACTCGTTGCTCCTCCCTGCCATATTTCACTGGATTTACTGCTATTATTAGTGTTTACTGATATAATAATGCTTAATAGTGATTAATCATGGCATTGTAGCCAGGTTAAACTCGTCACTGTAACCACCAGGCTACTGGACCAAGCTGTGAGGTGTAACGGTTGTTCTTCAACTCATATTTTTGGGTAGATATGTGTAACTTTCCTCATTTATTTTTACTCAGTTACATGCACACACCATCCTACATATATATTGTGAAAAAAGTTAATGAAATAATTGCCCTAAGAACAAACACATAAAGGGAATATACATTTCTTTGCACGAGTTAGCTGGCTCAGCGAGAGAACGGGAGGAAAGCGGAGAGTGTAGGGAGTGGGGAGCGTTGGGTGGGAATCAGCATCCCAGGTGGTCTCCATTGCTATGATGAAGCAAGGAGTGTAGTATGCAAATGGCTACTGTGTTAAACTTTCATTTGGCTTTTATTTACTAATTTGGCAATACTGTGTTTTTTGTTGTAACTTATTTATTGGTATTATTTTTATTTGTTCCTCACATTTTAAGAAAACTATGGCTACAGGAGGAAAATACACACAAGTTTTTTCCTAAATACTCCCTACTAAAATGGGGCGTGCGTCGTATATGCCATAAAATACGGTAATGTAGTTTTGGTGTTTTTTATATCAATATATTTTTTTTTTTTATCCATTTAGTACATTTGCCGGAAGATACGGACGATAGTCTTTCTCAGACAGGTGGTTCCCCCTTTTAGCCGGATCTCCAAGGGTTCACTGTACTGTATAATAAGTTTTTAATTCCAGTGAATAATATACTCATTTTATTTTTTATTCTTGTATACTTTTCCTGTAACATGTGGGATGGCTGTCATAAAAAGCAACACAGATTATCTTATTGTCACTGCCATTCATTCTCTAACTGCACTTAAAACACTATTCTGGGAATTACTGTATATTTTTAATGTTTTTTTTAATACTGTACAGTGGTCCCTCGGTTAACGAACACAATTTGTTCCAGAAGGTCGTTCGTTAACCGAAAATTTTGTTAACCGAAACCATTTTTTCAATGGGATTTTGGGTAATTGGTTCCAGCTCACCAAAAATTACATACAAAGTAAAAAAAATGCAGTAAAGTACACTTACTTTGAGGTGCGTATATAGAAGACTCCTGGTTGATGATGATGGGAATTAGAAGTGGGGGTGGAGGAGAAGGGAGAAGAGAAGGAAGTGGGGGTGGAAGAGAAATCACCCCATGCTTCATGCCATCATTTCATCCATAACATTTTAAGTTCACTAGGTGTAATTCAAGATTATTTTCTTTAAATCAACACTGCACTGCACTATATATTGTCAATATGTAAAATGACCAATAATTGTACTGTAAAAACGTAAAAATAGTTTATGTTCAAGAGTCACAAGCAAGATGTTACCTCCACTGACCAGAGATACAAACTGATGCCTTACTGGAGGAGTCAAGTGGTTGATTGGTGCACCAAAAACTAGTTTCCTGTACTGCAATTATGTTAAATAAGTTAAAATGACTAAAAATTTTAATATAAAACTTGGAAAATTATTGATATTTACTCAAATGGGAACGAATTTAAGCCCTAGAACCAATTACTGTATTGGCGGACTAATATTCCAGCTGGTGAGCAAGCGAAAACATGCTGACATGATTTCGTAAAAATTTCGTTAACCGAATATTTGTTCGTTAACCGAATTGAAGATTCTTATGGAAGGTAATTCGTTAACCGAAATTTCGTTAACCGAGGCATCACTGTAAATATGAAATCAATTCTGAAATCCTACATCAATAATTAGTTTCAATGAACCACCTTTTTATCCCTTCCATACACATATGTATAGAATCACACCCACAGAATATGGCTGGAGATCTTGTTAACAAAACGTAACGATGTAAAACTGGTATATTTACGATGTCATCATGAGCATGGTGTATAGGTGAGCCATACTGAGGAAACACATCCCAGTGACATAAGCATCATAGCCTGCTTCATGGAGCACAGCCTTATCTCCACCTATGGGCATAAAATCAAAGCTGTTAGAATTTGCTGGACCATGACAAGAGAGAGAATCTTTGAGGACTTGAGCATCATATAAACAGACCCAACATTGATGGTCTACAATAGAAATACAAAATATAAACCAAATTACAATGTCTCTGAATTTACCATTTTAATTAGAATAATTAGTTAATTAATAACCCTTGAAAAAAATATACATTTAGATTATTTTACAATAATTACAAAATTCAAATTTTAAGAATTGGAACCCAGATCCTTTGGTTGTTTACAATATCTTCTAAGTGTATAAACAACACTTGGTAGTACAGTACACATAAGCATACTAACTATACTTATTTACAGGAGGATGATGTATCAGTGAAGGTTTGTACAACACTGAGCTCGCTCTCTTCATGGAGGAAGCTAAATCATACAGCGATGTGTTGTTGAACAAAATACTGACTGCAAAAGAAATATAAAAGCATCTGTGTTACTAAATAGATGACTGTACAGTATGGTGGGTGACCTATGAGGCACCCTGTACAGTATTGTGGGTGACCTATGAGACACCCTGTACAGTATGGTGGGTGACCTATGAGGCACCCTGTACAGTATGGTGGGTGACCTATGAGACACCCTGTACAATGGGGATAAGTAAAAGAAATATTGCACATGTTTGGAAGCTCAGCTGCTATTTACAGTATGGCAGTAGTGTTACGCTCATACTTTTACTATTACTTTACATTGGACTAGCAGCCATATACAGCCTCCTTACTGGAAAGCTGAACTGAAGATCTCTACAATGTTAGTTTAGGTTAAGTTAGCAGAGAACAGGAATGAGGTACAGTACAGGAGGGTAAATAATTGATTTTCTTAAAGTGATGGAATTAATAACAACACTGACAAACTTACCTTCATCATCTTTTTCTTTATAGTGGTATCTCAGCTCTGTGGCGATGAACTTGGTGTCGTAAATAATGGGAAACATCTGATGTAAGTCAGTCTTGAAGGCTGAGTATGACTGTGGTAGGTGCCGATGAAACTGAAAACAGTGTTTTAGAGAAATTACAGTACATTACTAACTCACTATGGGCAATAAAAAAAAAAACACTGAAATTAGTCTCTGTATAATTTGTCTTGGCAGGTATTTGACACTGTTTACTAGAGCTTCAACCCAATACTTGCACATAAAATTCACCAAAATACCTATTTTATGTATCCCTGATGAACGAATTGAATATATGATGAAATATTGTTTAGTTTATACAGTATCTACAATTATGCAATTGATAACAGCAAAGTTAGAAGTAGACTCGAGTGAAATACGAGTCAATATTTGTGTAAGGTGTGAAGGTAGAACAGTGACTAAATTTGCTAAAATGATGACCACAAGCCCTGCACTACAACCAGGAACCTTGTGATTATAGAAGACTCATGAAGCTGGAAGTCACACGAACAAATTCTTGCTTAGGAGGAACAAAAATCCTTTCCCAAAATAAAGATTGGTTGAAAAATACACACCTGCTTATATATCAACAAAAGATCCAAAAGAGAGTTGTGAAAGACAATTGGCTTCTGATGTTGTGCTAGATACTGGAATACTGTAGTGAACCCCTGCATCCTGCTCACAATACCTTCAACAAAATCTACACTTTGGGGATCCTGCGCCTCAAGTCTTGTGCGTTCATCAGCAGAAACTTTTTTAATGACAACCTGTAAATGAGAAAACAAAGTCATTTAAGCATTCTTGGACTTCCTCGGCTCTCCTACGCACACACACACACACATACCGAATAAAGATTCCCTTACAATATAAATAAATTATAGTACACAGGTTTTTCATATTTCAGTGTCTATACCACACCAGTTAGCATTCTCCTTGTTGCAAGTCTTCTTTGTTCAACCTAATACCCATGTAAAAGTCAGATCCTAAATCCTATTTATTTATGCTAAGCACTGTGCAGTATTATTACAGTACATGTACTTGAGAAAAGTGCAAAGTTTCCTAATCTGTAATATACTCGAGTAGAAAAAGTAAAATTAAATAAAATTCAGTGTTCCTAAAATAACATTATTACTCAATGGTGAAATTCTATTCTTAGAAGTCAGATAAAAGTTAAAGATTTTGTTAGAAAATTATAACAAATATAAGAGATCAACTGACTACAGTATATTATTTACATTCTACATCAGCAACATTTTAGGTTGAGTTTCAGTAACAATTAGCATTTTTTTTTATACTACTGTATATCAAAACCTGGAGTGAACATCAAACCGAAACTCATTTTCAGGGCACAAAATATGTCTCTATATTCAGAATAACACATCAGAAAGATGGGAGTCATTTTTGTAATCATGATCTTTACTTCTTTGATACAAACCTTTACTTGTATACCAGTACCACACATTTACAAGTCACAAGTAATAATTACAACCCATGACAGTTTATTCTGAACACACCTGGTCATTGTCTATTCCTGCCCAGAGGTCAGTGAACTTGTTGTGTGTACTAGCTACGAGCAGCACCTGGGATGTAATGTCATGGCCAACAGAGCAGGTGGTTGTGTCTCCCTCTTGTGCTGTAGCTGCCCACTGTCCTATGTTGCTCAACTGGTCTTGCACCTGTAAGGAATGTTTCTAAATTATCAACTGTATTTAGGCCAAAACAGCAATAATAACTGTTCAGTGATTATAGAAAACATGTAGTAACCTAAAAGATAACAAAAATATTTACTTAAGAATAACTTGGTTTACGCCTCTTATATTCAATGGTCAGCTTAATCTATACCTGATGAGATTTATGTACATAAGTCTTGCAATAAAAAGCTTCTAATGTAGGCAAACACAAAAATAAAAAGATAATATATTTTTAAAACATTTTAAAGAAACTGAATCTAATAAAGTAAGTGGGCTTTAGACTAAATAATAAAATGCTACAAGAAATATTTTCTACAGATTAAACATAAAAGAGACAAGGTTTCATCACAGGGTCATATTCCCCATAACATTTAATTTCTTTTACATGCAAAAAACATTAACAATTAGCATCAAATACAATACACACTTGTATTAGGCCCCAACATGAAGTGTATATGTGACACTCAGTCTTTAATGACCACTAGTTACAAGTCATGTACTGTAAACCTATTGGACTTCTCACAACTGGCTCCGTTTTGCCTCTTTATTGCTTCTACAAAAAGATATTGAGATTGAAAGTATTTTTAGCCAGAAAAATACAGATATAGAGTGGACAATAATAACAAAATTGACATGGCTCAACTTAACTTGCTCTGAATTTTGTATCCAATTTAAACACATTAAAATTTAAAGAACCTCAACTAAAAACACTTTAGAGGACTCAAAATAAAATCAAAGTCATACAAACAGACAATCACAAACATACAGGTGGAGAGTAAACATAATAGCTATTCACTTCACTCTCCAAGTCGTGGCATAACAATGCAAACTTACCTCAAAAGAGAGTCTGAAGCCTTTGTTTCCTTGCATGAAAGACAACAAATCACTACGAAGTTCTTCAGCTTCATTTGTGTTCATGAAGGTAATGCCCCCATACAGCCACTGAGGGAAGCATCATACAGTACCTTTGATTTTTGTCACCTAGTTTTATGCCAAAAATTTAAAATGCACAAACTCCATTCTATAAAACATGATAAGGTACAATACTATGAGTTACAGTGAAAATTTCAATTCTTCTTACTATTACAGTAGTATAGTATAATGCAAGAGCATACCTTGTTGAAGTCAAATTGATATTTCTGCAGAAATTCGAGGCTTGAGGCCTGGCACATAAAAGTTGGGTCGAAGGAGTTGCATGAGTGTGGCCGCAGGTAGAAGTTGTAGCTAGTCACAGTGTACTTGTTCACATTAGGAATGCCCTGAAGAAAAATATAACAATACAATATACAGTAATACAATAATACAAATATTTAACTGTACAATGCTGTTAAATACAGATATTCATCATAAGTTTTTCTTCACTTTATCTCGCTGAAATAATAGCAAAATACATGGCTCAACAAAAACAATAAGAAGACATTGTTAAAAGTTACCTTAAAGACTGCTAAACCAAGCTGGCATATTGAAAATCTCCTCATGTTTGATATCAACTTCTGGTACCTGTGAGGCCCATCATCAAACAGGCTGTTGACACGGTACCATTATTAGTGACCCAACTTGTGCTACGCTATAATACAGTACATGTATTGGTCAATTATTAGTCTTTCACAGCTACTCTCACATAAATGCAAGGTAGCCTGAAACAGTACAGTACAGTATACAGACAGTAACACACTCACATTTTTCCTTCATTTACTGTCATTCCATCTATGTTGCAGCCACCAAAAAGGTATTCTATCGTGGTAATCCCCTTTCATTACAAGACCTTAAATCTGGTTTACCTGTATACTGTATTGCTTCCCACTGTTGCTTCACTTCCTAGATATTTTTCTCCCTCACTATTAGTGCACCTTTCACTACATCCTTCATTCTCCTTGGTGCCCCTCTCCCTCCTACCACCCATCTCTCAACTCTATACTGTCACATTCATTTCAATTTCTTACCCTATCCACTCTGGTAACCCCTGGTAAATCATTTTTCTTGATTAGATTTTAAAGCATTTTCTTCCATTCCAGATGTGCATTTTACCACCATAAGTTAAGGTTGGAAGAATTATACTATCTCGAGTTATTGGTACTTCTTCAACCCCAAGCTTATATTTCCTCCTTTGGTGATACATTGAAGTTCTCCAGTTTTCCTCCTCTCACATAGTACAGTATTAACAACACTAACCTGCCCACGAAGACTTCATCTGACAAAAGCCCTGTAAACTCAGTGTCCACAGCAATAAATGAGGCTGATTTTATGTCTGCTAATATTTCTGGGAGCAGTTGGTTGAAGTTATTTGCTGTTACTTCAACCATACTGAAGAAGAGGTCACCAAAATCTTGCTTCTCAACTGTAAATGACCAAGAGGTAGGGTAAAAATAGAGGTGTCCAAATTTATATTCCTTACGTTTACTTTATCTTCTCTACCGCTTGGGCGGTCGTTCATGTCACTGTTAACAAGTACATACGGAGTGGATATTTTGCTGTGACCGGCTAAGGTCCTACTTATGCTATTTAACCATGAATGCACTCTGATTGGCGAAGTAATTTCTGTTTAATTTGACAGAGGGTCAACCCCCCGGTAGGAAGTTAGGTAAGGTTAGGGAAGTTTTTTTGGGTTGGTTAGATCAGGTTCTAGTAAATGTCACCTCTTTTATAATGATTAGTTTCCATGCACAACAGAAATATAGTTAGGTATGTTTACGCTACACAACGATCAACTCACGGCAAAATAAATGCCAAATGCCGCCAGAGTCACAATCAAATATAGTTCTCGCGTTGTTCGCCAGTAATGGACGATTAGCTCATCACGGAAAAGTTCCTACTAACGTCATTTTACCGTGAGTGCGCTCTACTCTAATCGGTTAGTGAATAGTCGAACAATGTGAGATTGATATGTGACCGTGACTCTGGCAGCATTTATATCTTGCAGTTAGTAAAAAATCTATGGAAAATTTGCCTAAGTGGGCCCAACTCAATTTTTAATTAAAAACACGTTTTATGCATTGTTCAGACTATTCCAAGACACTTTTCTTTTGTGGCATTTCCGTCGGAAATTTGCAGTGTGACAGACCCATAACTCCTAACTACAACCTAAATTTATCATAAATGCGCGTGGATATGGGCTTTCAAATGATTGATTAATGGAAGTTTAAGATCCACTGAGTAACCCCCTTTTTATAGTTGAGTTTGGGGTAGTTCTACCTACTCTTTCCAGATATGCAACCCAAGTCTCAGAAATTAATAGGTCAAAAGTTACAGCCAATTTAACCTTACAGTTCGCCTCACTGACCGGTGTCTGAGTCACGTGCAGTACAGTGAACAAACTGCTCTCTTAATGTTCTTCTATTGGTTTCCTACATGTCTAATTGTAAAATTAGCGTGTAGAAAAAATTTCAACCAATTCGGACAATTCCATCTGGTGGTAGCCATTGTCTACACCTTTACCGTTGTAAATTTGAAAAAAAAAATGAAATTACACCAGAAACGGACAAAATAAAAAGAAAAAACTTGCCGAGGAATGTCTAGTAAGATAGGTGGCGAAATGATAAATTAAACTGTCACTGCTTCTGAATCAACCACAAACTATGAACTTACATTTTACTGTCGTTTGAGAAGAAATGAAATCTTAGACCTCTATTATTTCCTTGTTTTTCCCACAAATAACACGATGGTGGCTGGTGTCTGGTACCTGCTGTAAACAAACAGCCGACACAGCAGCCATCCAGCGCCATCTCTAGGACAAGCATCCAACTAATTGACTTACTCTCCTAAGATTAATACTGTAGTTCTTTATATTCCTTGAGTATAAGCTTGGCAACTGCATGCATTCTAATCTCTCTCAGTAACTGAATTGCCTTTCCCAAAGATAACAGAATAAAGTACAACATAAACAAACTCCCATAATGGAAACATTCTAGATGGCCACATTTTATGAAAAACTTTAATTTATTCAGACTTTCTTGGTTAATGTACTTAATTGTTCTGTACATACTGTATAGGTAATTCTGCATGGTCCATAACTAGGGCCCTTACAGGTTTTACTGAGCTTGTTGAAATTTTGCTTCCAAGATCTTGTAGTTATAAGGTCCTCTCCATCATCAAGCTGTGGCTGCAGCAGTTCAACTTGTGCCTTGATTTTGGCTAATGAAATCGGACAGCGTCCACTTTAAAATGGGCCGAGCCAAAACTGGTTTCAACTAGTCGCAATTCTTTAAACAAATTTCATGCAATACGCTTTGTTTTAGGTCCTATGCAATATACTGCCGTATATATAATTATTTTTATTATTATATCAGTTTTTGTATTGCCTTACATCCCCTCAAATCTTCAATATTATTCAAAATATTCTCAGTGGGAGAAATCGATGATTGGTTGTTAGCTATTTGGGCCGCCTGGGCGTTGCACAAGGCTAACGCCTGATCAAGGTGTTAGCTTTTCCCTATGAATGTGTCATGTGCACAAGTCAAAAGCAGCGTCTGCACATACAGATTAGCTAACACGTTAGCTACTCTGTGCATCAAAAACGCCTTTAGTGTTGGGTATAGTCATGTCATTACTTGAAAAATAGTTAATGACAGGTCAATATTGCAGTTCAAGTGTTATGATTCTAATCATCTACATGAGTTCTCTGCCAACAGTATATAGAGAAAGACTGGAATTTAGTAGGAAATTAACCACTTTCCTCAACTACTGCATCTCATCTACCCCCAGTTGGTTCACAGATTAGTACTGCCAACTGCTGACATTGTTAAAAAGACATCCTCAAAGAGATGTGAAAATACTTAAACAAAGATGTAAGGCATATGTGGAAAATTATGTTGCAAAGAGGCAATAAACCCAAACCAGAAATCACCCAGAACAATGCCTATCAATTACAATGTTTGTGAAATATTCCCAATTTATTCTTGATAGCCTTCACACTTTAGGAAACTATTAAGAGCTATCTCTTATATAAATATTTATTACAGTAACAAAATAACAGTCTACATATATACAGTACGGCCATCCACAGGATAACAATATTACCTAAACCAATGTCTCTTTGGGGTTTTATTACATCTTCTCCAAACTGCAGATGAGGGACTGTAATTGTTCAAGTTCCGTTCGTAATGAGGCCAGCTGAAAATAACAAACTTTAATTAATTATTAAGTAGACATTATGAAAGGCAAGTGTTGCTACAGTATGAGATTCAATGTCATTATATACTGTGTATTGATGGTAGTGGAATGATGTATGTGACAATATGGGGGACAATATGGTAAAAGAGGGAATGGATGAGAAAAAGTAATGAGAGTGTCTACAGTATGTTATATTTGATAACCAACCTACATTATAAAGAAAGAGTCCCTGAAAGACTGAAATAAAATGGCATTAATATTATCAACCTTAAATGCAGGGCCGGCACTAACCATTAGGCAATCACCAACATCTGGGGCGCCACAGATTCTGGACAAAGTTAGGTAAAATGATCTAATCTAAGTAAAATACAAAACTTTAATACATGTATAGGTACTCCAGAGCATGCTGATTTCGAATATATGGTCCACGATTCGATTGCGGGGTAATTAGTGGCTGTAATGACCCTTGGATAATTTAATTATATTTTTCAATACTAATTACTCGCCAACTATGGGTTTCCAAAGTACAATTTTGGTGTTAATGTGTTATTCTGTAAGTACTTAATTCGTTAAAACCCTTTAAATTTCAATTATGTGAAAAAAGTATATTTTGGGCAAAAAATTACCAAGGGGTAAGGCTTACCTTCTCGACAGTTTTGGCCCAAAAATTTGATTTTTTTGAAAATCACAATGTAGGTACAGTACTCCAGAGCATGCTGATTTCAAATATATAGTCCACGGTTCAATTGCGAGGTAATTAGTGGCAGTAATGACCCTTGGATAATTTAATTATATTTTTAAATGCTAATTACTCACCAACTATGAGTTTCCAAAGTGCAATATGGGTGTTAATGTATTCTTCTGTAAGTACTTAATTAGTTAAGCCCCTTATCCGAAATTCAGAAAACAGAAAACTTCTGAAAACCTAAAGTTTTTTTGTGGAGAAAGCCTAACATAACCATTCTGAAATCCGAAAAATTCCAAAATCCGAAATGCATCTGGCCCCAAGGATTTGGGATAAGGGATTGTCAACCTGTAATGAAGGGAAGAATGGCTAGGAATGATGACAATTATGTTAAAAATACCTTGAGGAAGAGTGTTTTATTAAAATGACAACAATTCTCCCTCAAGACCAAACCCGATGTTTTTGGGTGGGATGGAAGGTCGGAGCAGGATGGCAAAAGGTTAACTCAATCGTGGGACTGAAGGGGATGGAGGACGTGAGGTGGGGGGAGGGTTTGTGTTATGACGTGTCACATGTAAAAGAAGAAACCCACAATGGCAGACAAAATATTTAATCCAAACAGTTTAGACAACAACTGTAGCCTAAAAAATAGCCAAAGTTATATTGATCGTGAAAGATAAATTTACAAATGGCAAATTCATAAAACATAAAGAATTCCTGTAGACAAATACAGGTACAGTATAGATAGACAGTCACACAGTATAAGTATGGGAACAATAAGACACTTACCCTGCTAAGATGAGCTTCCTGGACGTGGGCTGGTGACTTCTCTTCATAGCCCGGAGAAGAAACAATTTTCACCATCTTACTCTCCTCTTTCAGCAGCTTGCCGAGTTTCTTTCGTAAACGTATCAATTCTTTCTTTGGATCAATCACACCCTGGGATGTATAAAGAAGGAACTTTTTAAGATCAATTGAGTGAAAAGATAAGGATGAAACCAAATTACCCATTTATGAACAAGAACACGAAGTCAACTCGTTCATATTACTCATGACACAAAGTATATTCTCATACACATGTTTCTATTTATATAGAAATGGGGGTTTGATCAGAAAAATTAATTTTAAAAGTTAGTCAATAATGCACAACACATTTATAATGCACTGCCAAAGTTAGGTGGATATGGTCCAAGTAACCTCAAACTGGCAACTGGGGTTAATCCAAAGATTGACCTATCATTTCTAGCAATCATTGCCTTTAAAGGGGGATATTAAAAGCTGACATTCACAACTTCTGGAAGATTCAGGTTAATAAGGCTTCCAGCAGTTTGTGAATCTCCATACTAACATATCTCATTCAACACAATGCATACCCGATATTTCTATTTTTCATGTGTACTGCTGCTCTCATAAGGTCATCTTACAAATGAGGCAGCTGATCTAAAGTTTAATTATAAAACCAGAACCACTGACTAATTAATACAGATACTGAGAGAAGACTTACCTCAAGGTGAAGGTAAACAGCAGTTGAATCTGAAAGTATTGCTACTGCTGAAGTGGCTGGAGGTGCTGCAGGCCCATCTATTATGGTCACTGACAGTATACGACCTAGGGATTTTATAACCCGCAAATTCTCCCTTAGCACAGTAGTCAGGTCTTTATCTGAACTGACAACACTACCTAGAACAAATTGTAATTTTATTAACATATCCATTTGGTACACCCAACACAATTAATTGCATTCATTGCAAATTAAATCATAAAAAAATAAAAATAATTAATGTAGGATTCATTGGTATTCATTATCAGTGTTATGAAATCATAGGTTCATTACCTTGTACTCTGTAGTGCGTAATATTGTAGGTTGTCTTGAGGGCTCGGAATGCTGCGGCCACTTGAAGTAAACTCTGTACCCTGTCTTCTACCATCTGGTCTCTCCAGCACAACCACTGATAAAATTTTTTTGTAATTCATGTGTGTTTTCAAATCCCATGTGCTGAACCAATATATCTACAAGATGCAATATGGACACATTTAAAGCCCCATCCAATCAAACATGTCTGTACATCTAAACCAATCAAAATATATTCCTAAATTCTCTCGAGATCTGGAGTTGGTTACCCTGTCTTCTACCAGTTGCTCCTCCTGCCTCCACAGTTCTTAAGTCAAGTTGTTTCCAATCTAATGATATGAAATGGCAGCTAAATCATCCAACTCTTTTTAACAAGTACACTTTGGCAACACCTGATGCAAAATACTGAGGTATGTTGGTTGATTGATTGTGGGAATTACAACCCTGGCAATGCAATAGATTAAGTCATATGCCAAGAGGTATGTTGGAGTAGAGCAACAAGCAACAGACTTATTTCGTCTTTTTTTTATGATAACTACTGTGTATCATCCAACCTGTTGTGGCTGAGGGTAGTCACACTGCATGATGCTCTCAAACTTATGGCCATTCCTTGGCAGTCTCTGATACAGTTCTTCTGTCAGGAAAGGCATAAAGGGGGAGATGGCGTGTAACCCAACATCCACACAAGTCCAAAGTGTCTGTAATGCTAATAACTTGGCTACATCAGATTCCTGTTTTAAAACTGACTTGATGCTTTCCTGGAAAACAGAAAATAAACATCAATTAATAAAAAGATCTTAATATCGAAGTTGTCTAACATTCAGGGTATCAACATGAACATAAACTTTACCCATTCTCTCAATGACCATAACAGTTTAATAAAATAGGACAGCCAGAGATCAGGTAGAGAGAACTAAAGTGTCCTCACTAACTGGAGTATTCCTCGGTAATAAATTTCTATCTAGCATTCTATCTATTATCTTTACTCCTCTTCCTTTTTGAAGTGGAGGAGAGAAAAAAGGGTCAAAACACTCAAAGAAAATGGAGTAAAAGTAGGAAAGACTTATTAAACAGTAGTGAAGAATTTAACAAGAGAGAATGAGCTAAGGCAACAAACTCAAGTGTTACAATATTTCACTAAGCAATCCTTAAAATCACATACCAGGTAAACATCACAGAGATGATTGTACCAGAAGGTCACAAACCCTGTAGTAACAAGATGCAGGTCGTACGCCTCAAAGCACTGGTTACTTCCACAGATTAATCGGGACATATGACTCAGTATCCACTTATCCATCATGCCAAGATCCGCCCTGGAAATAACATGTTATAGTGTTGGATGTCATTAACAACCATGAAAATATTCTCTCCATCTTGAAATATTTTACAGCACTTGTGTATCAGTATGTTAATCAATCTTCAGGACCTATCAATGGATTCATCTCTGCGGAGTGGAAGTTGTGCACCAAAATTAATGGCTATTTTAATCTTTTTTGAGTGACACACAGTGGACCGAATCTTCTATTCTACTGTATCTAACTCCATTTACTAAAGTGTGGCATATATTGTGATAATGCCCGAGAGACTTTTTACACAATTATTATCTACCAACTATTATTTTCCAGTTCTCAAAGAGGGAATTAAACCAAACCAATATGTTGAGTTTAGGATAGACTGTTACTATTAACTCCTGTATCTGTGAGACCTATGTTGAGTCACCCACTGAGCAGCACAAATCCTTATTGTTAACAATTTAAGGAATTAATTGAAACAGAGAAGCTGGAAAATTGTTTTAAGTTTATCAGTACTGTATTACGACTTATCGTGGATTTTGAGAAGAATAAAGAGGTAAAGGAAAAATTAAATATACAGATTGAAGGCAAAATTCTGTAAACATTTGACCCAGATTTTAGTTTCCTCTAAAATCTAACTGACTTAAAATTCATATGACAAACCTGCAAGAAGAGTGCACATGGGAAGCACACTGTGTTCCATTCTCTACCTTTTCCAGGGCAGATAAAAGGAATCGTACAGTCTGCCATATTTTGTTGCCCAGGAATTTGCTCTGCTCCATGCGGTTAATATCCACGCTGAGAAGCTTATCTGTAACGTGATTTTGTGACCCAATAAACATCAAAGTCCATCAAACACAAAGTAAAGCATGATCCAGTTCATTTGCGAAGGACTTACAAGAACAATTTCTGTCTTTGTAAATGTAAACAAACTAGAAAAGTAGGGGAAAATACCAAACAATGTAATATTCACATGTGCAACTAAAAGTTATACTTGGTAGTACTTACTTTTGAAATTGTATGAGCAGAGGGTGAACCTGAGGGCATCTGCACCACAGTCTGGTATACCATTCGGGAAATTTGAGGTTTGTCCTTTTATGGCCTCTGACACTTCTTGTCCTGACAGTATCCCACTCTTTTCACTTGACTTAACACGGTTGTTAAGCACCTAAATGTAGAGAGGAGTGCTTAATGTTTCCACAATAGTCTACTGAATGGGTGTTAATACAGATTTGAATACAGTACACATAATTATTTCATACCAGCTGCACACTTCACATTCTGTAGTCTTGGAAACATATAAATCACTGCACATTTTTGTAACTTACATTAACTGGGTTGGTATCTCAAACAATCAGGATCTTGCTTCCCTGAACAAAGTAGTGAAGCCATGATGTGTGACTACAGTGTGCAATTTGACACTCAATATTCAAGTTCTCAAATACAATTACCCAGTACATCACCTGCTTCTTTAGTGCCAACCATGTCTAAAGTCATGTATCATGTATCATGGAATGCATATCAATAGCATCACAAAAGAGTTAATATTTCATTTATAAGGCAATGGTGTTAACTCTCGACTCAGTCAACAACAACTGTACTCAACCTTTCTGCACTGATATAAAATACTGTACAGTTTACCCTCAATTTACATGGATTTAATAATTTAATACTGGTACTGTGGGGCTAGAATCAATACACTGTACTGTACCAACCAACACTCCCCTTTTCATTGTAATTCATTCTTTTTAACTGCAGTAAGAGATGTTTCTCGCTAAGCTGTTCTCGTTCAGTGGTGTGGCCCCCCAAGAACACATACCTCTAGAGAAGCTCCTTGAATAACATCAATTGGGTCAATCACATTCCCTCGTGACTTTGACATCTTGTGGCCATGGGCATCACACAGCAAGCCATGTAACAATACAGCCTAGAGAGAAAGATATATTATATATATACTGTACAGTATAAACAGTATGCATTCTATACAGGTGACATAATTTTTTTTTAAATTTAAGATGTTGTGGTCCTGATAACTAAAAATTATGTAACGTTAGCCTCCACACCACATTAACTACAGTACTGCACTACAGTATGTATTGATCAATGAAGAACTGCAATATATTTGAAGTTAATTAATGTACTGTAATTAAGTAATGTTATCTGCCAATTCCTAATAACCAAAGAAAATGCTAAACTATAAACAAAGTGAAGAATGATTACTTAACATACTGTATGTGTACCACCCAGAAAGACATTCTTGCTAGAGACATATATTACAGGTACAGTATTGTATTATCATTTAAAGTATCTGATACAGTACAGTACAGGTCTCTTTCTTTCAAATGACATTGAACATTATAAACATGCTGGCAGTGACACTCATAATGCACCTTAAATGGTAGTTCGCTGGTAAGGTGTGTTCCAAGCATAACCATCCTAGCCACCCAGAAGAACAAAATATCATGGCCAGTCTCCATGAGAGTGGTGGGGTAGTAGCTCTGCAAGGCCTCACTTTTCTCTGGCCATCCAAACACAGCAAAAGGGAAGAGTGCTGAAGAAAACCATGTATCCAACACATCCTCATCTTGACGCACTGATGTTATGCTCAACTCAGATATTCCTGAAAATTGTGGCACAGTACTTTATGCACTTGGAAAATTTTATATTTGCATGCTGTATAGAGTATTTCATTTACAAAAGTAATCTAAAATGAAATCAAACAATTCAATGCAATATTTGGAAGGATTCACAGTAATGTAAATGTCAAATGAGGAATTAACCCACATAATTCTAATGGAAGTTTTGTTATCTTAACCTTCTGGTACTTTTGGCCATGGTCGGAAATCTCACCCCCTCGCAGTCTTTCGATGCAACTTGCGTCGGTAACAGGAACACTTTACCATTTTAGTAAACATTGGGTAGATCAATCCAGACCCAAATTGCACACTTATAGATGCATCTCCCAGTCCACGAGGCTAGTGGAAGGAACTTATTGATAGAGCCAGTCCACTGTTTCTGCTTTTCTGCTTATGGGAGGGTTGTTTTCAGTGTGAGATACGACTGAATGGGAGGGGTTGCACCAGCACAGGAATGCTTAGTGATGCAATTTGCATCGAAAGACCATGGGAGGTTTAACATTGTACCTATACCTCTTTCTTTGAAGCTTCTGTTTCCCTTGATCCATCCCACATAAAAGTGGGAGAGAAGTAGTCTAAAAATGATGGTTTGGATTCATAGAAAAGTTGTGTCAAGTATGAGAAAGTAAACTTAAAAGTACTGTAAACAGCAAAATATTACAGATCTCCACATCTTATATATGACAACTATAAGTGGCATACCTTCTTTTTCTGCAACTTTACTCTTTGCATCTTCTATGGACCTTGCAGCAACCCAGAACTCCTCACTGTCAGACTGAACACAATAAGCTGGAATACGGTGGCCCCACCAAAGTTGCCGAGAAACACACCAGTCGTTAATATTCTCCAGCCATTCATACCAAACTCTTGTGTAACTCTCAGGGTGGATGTGCAGGTTACCTTTACGAACGGAATTGACTGCTTCAACGGCCATATTTTTGCAGTTAATAAACCTGAGGATATAGGGATATTTACTGTCATATTTCATTTGCTTGTTATTCATTAATTTGTCATTTACATGTACTTTTAATGTTTAAAATATAAGTAGTGGAGCCATGTGTACTAGTGCAGAACCAGAGGAATGGACAAGGGGGAACAGGAAGACACTACCACATGCAGTGGATAAAGTAAATGAGGCAGCTGCTGAGAATGGAAGGAGGCCAGGTCCACTACCAAGGTCAGAGTCACTACTGAGGACTCTTAAAAGTCACATACACAAATATGGACACTTTCCTCAACAAGAGAGCAACAGGAGGAGCAACCAGGAATATTGCAAGTTTAATATACTGTAGATGGATATGACTCATTGACGAATTGTCTCGAATACAAAATGTGTGTTTGAAAATCCACTGAACAGAATTTCCCCCAAAATGGCTGATTCTTCATCGAAGCAAAGAATAATGAGAATATGATCAGTAGATTATAGATTCTTGAGTACTTATGACAGTTTATGTAAGAGAAACCATGAAGGAATGTGAGTTGCGCCAACACCAAGACTTAAGAGGAAAATTTCTTGATAATCTACTAGGACTGTGGCTGCCTGGACATGCATGCAAAATTTATCTCGGTTACAACATAACATTTAATAAAATATTTAAACCTACTAAATTAGTGTTTTTAAAATTGTAAGCCTTACCACTGGGGCTTCAACAGAGGTTCAATAACATCTTGGGTTCGACTACAGCGAGGTACCATCATGGGGTGGGCCCTACATCCACGATAAAGTCCCAGGTCACTGAGTGCTTCTAACACTGCTTGTCGTGCTTTGAACCTTGGGAAGTTCTGCATGGAATACGAAAACAAACTCAGTTACAGCTTTGAATAGAGAATCATGTGACAAACCAAACCAGAAATCACTAAATTAACATCCCCACAAGTCAATTTTGGACAAAAATACAAAAAACTAAATTCCTGAAAACTGGACATGCAGTTTGAGGAAAGTAATCTTAAAGATCAGGTCACATTTTAATATACTGTATAAGATAAGAACAGCAATTCTCATATGAACAACACTGGAGGTATTACACCACAGAGCCTCAACTAGAGTGGCTTAATTTCAAAGGAATGCCAAGCATAATCAGAACCGACCAATAATCTCACATTTGTCAAAACAGACACTAACAATTACCTGTACTGTACCTTACAACTTCCATAACAATAAAAAGGAAAAAAAATTCACCTTGAATTCAGGAACAACGTCCATCACTCTTCCTTGTTCGTCAAACACTGTTAGTTGTGGAAGGTTGTGTCTTTGTCCTACACTATAGTCATCCTGGCTGTGGCCGGGTGTCACTTTCACCACACCTGTTGGTTGTAAGTAAACAATATCACTTTCATCTCACTTAAATCTTTCAAATTGCTAAGATATATTGCTCCTCTGTAATTTCTTCATTCAATTTCTCTTGCTTTTTCTTTATACAGAGGAATGCTCACTGCCACCCAATAATCATGTACTTGGCCACCACCCCACCTCCACTGAACGAGAGCCTCGCCTCCACTCCCAGTGAACTTGTTCATCACCTCATATATCTTTTTCAGGTGGAACATTCCTCGTAATAGCTCCTCACTTGTTTTCATTATTATCTACATTTATTCTCATTTAATGTTAAGTCTTATATAGCCAATAAATCTTACCCTAACAACTTTCGTCTTCTGAGAATGTTTACTCCAACCTCTCTCCTTTTTCTTTATTCATACAGTATATCTATAGAAAATAACATTCTTGGAAGGTTTTCTATGTTTGGTGTTATTGTATTTGGATTTCTATATCTAATTCAATCTTCTGTTGCCAGTATAGAACACATGGGAAAAGTTTGAAAATTTTCTCTATTCTCTGTGTAAAAATACATTGTTTGTCACTTTTACTAACATTATAAAAACTTAATGTGAGCATCAAGTAACAAAGAATACCAAAATTACAGTACAGGTAGTTCTGCTATAACGCGATAATTGTGTTCTTGTAAAATATAGTGTTATAGAAAAGCGCGTAATAGAAATAACAGGGCTTATGGAGAAAATAGGGTTAGGTGCAGATTACTCGAAATCGAAAAAATTTAGTAGTTGGCCTAACACAAAGGATAGCACAGTCTAAATAAATATTACATTCATATCTAATAATGAAATCATACAGTAAATGTAACACTTTACCTTGAAAAAATATGAATGTAACTTGATGGGGGAGAAGGGTGACTTTGAGGTTGATAAAATCGAGCTTCTCTTCAAGTGTTATATCCTTTCTTTTACGATCATCACCGGGAATTCTATCACCAGAACGCTTCTTGTTGACATTCTTCTTTACCATATTCACAGTTAATACCACAAAATTGGAGAAATAGTAAGCAAAAATCGCGTTATAGCAAACAAGCGTTCGCGTTATACAAATATCGTTCCCAATTCATAAATCGTGTTAGAGCAAATTCGCGTTATCAAAACACGCGTTATAGCAGAACTCACTGTACAGGTTGTACCTCCCTAGTCCGGCAACCTCGGGACCTGACCGGTGCCGGACCATGGAAATTTCCGGACCATGGAAATTCACCCTTTTCCTGGACAGATAATGACTTGCACTTACGTTAGTACCACTTTCACTGCTTCGTGGTCTCTTTGAAGACATATTAAAGGGTTAAATGTTGTACAGTAGCTTCTCAAATTTCGCGAGGTTTTAATTCAACGTTTTTTTATTTGGACACACAAAAAAACACTACATAATTTAAAATTTTGACGGCAGAAACTCGAATTCTGATGGGTTTGAGCAGCCCTCCAACGTTCAGACGTGCACAATCGTGTAAACAGCGTCATTTCTCTTATGTACAAAAGATTCATTATTGTTTATTACTGAATGTCTTTTTTATTGACTTAATGTTTGTGTGTGCAAAATGAGCAATACAATTCATTAATAATACGTAGAATATTAAAACACACGAGGAAATGAGACCGCATTGTTTTCGTTGATTACAAAACCAGTGACTGAGTGGTTTTACATATAAAATACGAAAATAAGACCCTGGTTGTAGCTGTACAGTCGTAAAATTAATGTAAAAAATTAATACAAGTATGGTTGTTTTAAGTAATGTTATTTAATGTTAATAAATAGAACAATAAAAGTAGCAAACCATTAATGTTAAAAGAAAAAAGTGAGACTGCGCGTATGTAAGTGCACACATGTGAAAAAATATCGTCATTACTCTACACATGAATATGAAAGCAACACTTATTTACTGTTCATATATGTTTTAATTAATGTTTCTGATTTTTTTTTATTGAATTAATGTTTGTGTGCAAAATGAACAATACAATTCATTAATAATTCGTGGAATATCAAAACACACGAGGAGACGAGACGGCTGCCAGCATTGTTTTGTTAATGTTAACAAAGCCAGTGACTGATTGGTTCTACATATAAAACAAGAAAAATAAGACCCTGGTTGTAGCTGTATTAAAATTAATATAAAAATTAATATGGTTGTTTGAAGTAATGTTATTAATGTTAATAAATAGAACAATTAAAGTAGCTAATCATTATTGGTAAAGGAAAACAGTGAGACTGCGCATATGTAAGTGAGCACATGTGAAAACATATCGTCATTACTCTACATAAGAATATGAAAGCAACACTTATTTACTGCTCATATATATATATTAAAGGGTTAAATGTTGTACTCTGTACAGACAAACAGAGAGAGAGAGCCGAACTGCCGGATGTAAACAAACCTTAATTTACCGCGGCTTTGTTGTTGTTTTTTTTACGGGGATTAGCCCAGCTGGGCAGAGGTCACTGACCCACATTGGGGCCTGAGGGGCGAAAATGTAATACTCCTGTAATAATAATAATAATAATAATAATAATAATAATAACAATAATAATAATAATAATAATAATTCAGATAAGTAAAAAAAAAATAAAAAAATAAAAAAAATAAAAATAGTTGCTTATCTAACTATTGGGCAAACTAAAATAATTCGGGACCACAGGAGTTTCCGGACCACAGAATGCCGGACTAGAGAGGTACAACCTGTACTAATATTTATGAAAGTGAACCGAAATATGGAGGAGATGATTCTCCAATGGACTATTAGACATGACACTGTACATTATTTATACATCACTCATGAGATACATTTTATGAGGGATCTCATGACACTAGTATATTGTATAGTACAGCACCTGTGCCAAACTGGGGATCTACTTGAGAATCAGTAATAACAGGTATGATGTCTTTGCGGAATGGGTGGATGATGTGTCTGCCGTGGAGATGGATGTAACGCTTGTCCTCAGGATGAACCATGACGGCTGTGTCCCCCAACATGGTCTCTGGTCGTGTTGTACAAACCACAAGTTCCTCATCTGGTAAATAACATAAAAAATAAGGAATCAGTTTTAAAATCAACCAATATCAATGTTCACATTAAACTCAAACACATGTGCAGGCATTTCTAAACCATCTTAAGCAATAAAACTTAAAATTAAATGATACAGTAGGCCCTCATTAACAGACAGTTACAATAAAAGTCACATGAAAAAACAAATGAATACTGTATAAGATTTTGCTGTTTTATTACACCTGAACAAGGGTCTCTCAACATCATGTATCTTTTCTATACAGTATTAATACTAAACAATGTGTAATCTATGAAAGAAGATTGTTTTAAAAGAATTGGTACAGCTTAGTGAATTCTTAAAAGGTGTAATTTGGAGACACTAACATGAAATGGTGTGACAAAATAAGGGCAAAGAAAGTTGGAAATGTTAAAGAAAAAAGGTTCAAGGACACCCAAAATGCTTAATATATCCTGTATCACACACTACCATGAGAATGTAAAGTACAGTAAACTGGATACTGTAGCAGAAATAATATTTTAAGGAGTAATAACTCCTGCATTGCTCTTCTGATTTACTACAGAAATTAGAGAATACACAGTAAATAGATGAGATGTGACCATTTACCTGAACCACTGATCTTGTAGGCAAAGTCATACATCTTCCCAAACGTGACAGGCTTATCATATCCAGGAATTGTAAGCTCTGTTGGGCCCGTCAAATGCAAGTGTTCAACCTCAATATCAGAGACTGCTGACTGCAAACTACAGCACCAGTTGACTAGAGCATTTTTCCTGTACACTAAACCAGAATCATACAGCTGAATGAAAGCTTCAGTGACAGCTTCACTCATGTGCTGAAAAACATACAGTAATATAATGGTTTACAGCTTTAACTGCATTTCCATCAATTAATCTATAATTTTAAAGATTTACATGTGGTTTGTAAAGAAAATCAATTGTTTATAAAGATTTACACCTAAAATTAATATTACTATCAACATTATTATTCTATACCCTGTACTGTATAAAATTTGCAGTTAAAAACTCACTACCAGGAGAGGTGGCAACCACCTCACATCTCACACAGCAAAAGGTTAAACATGAACATCAATACTGTACTCACAGCATCCATAGTAAATACGGCTTTGTCCCAATCTAGAGAAGTGCCCAGCCTCTTCATTTGGTCATATATCAGTGTACCCTTCTCTTCTTTCCATTTCCATATTTCATTGACAAATCTGAAAGAAATGGAACAGTAGGTCTCAAATAACCACACAGTTATTTTGATACATTTTAAAGTCAAACCAGCACATGACACAATACTTACTAACAGTAGGAACAATAAAATGAACAGTTCCATTTAGAAGACCTTTTTGAGTAGTGGACACAAAAGTACTGTTCAGTATAAAATAGGTTCAAGCAGAAGGTGCAGTGTGTGGGACAAGTGAATATTTCACATAATGCCACGAATGAGTACAGTACAGTATCTTACCTTTCTCTACCTAGTTGGTGTCTTGTGCTCCCTTCTGTTGCCCAGAGATAACGTTCCACAACAACCTGAGTAGCAATACCTGCATGGTCGCAGCCTGGCACCCACACCACCTCGTGTCCTCGCATCTGATGCCTTAAGAGGTAAGCAGCTATGAGTCACAATTGCCATAAAATGATGATGATGATAAATTTAATGAGATACAGGTATTGTATATTAAAATTAAGTTAATTTTTGCCAACTTGGTCAAATAAAGCACTGTCTGTTCTACCACAATGATATAAAGCACTGCCCACCCTATCCCAGTCAGCCTGTGGCATAGTACAAATACAATATGCATGAATCATTCATAATGAATATCATTTACAGCATGGTACAAAACTGTGATAATATATAGTCTCAAAAGCACACACCATCTGGCAATGGCATCCTGCACGGCACAAGTGAGGGCATGACCAAGGTGGAGTGTCCCAGTTATGTTGGGTGGTGGCAAAACCATGACAAATTTTTCTTGTGCTCCTCGTCTACGAAAGAATCCTCGGCTCTCCCACCATGAGTACCAGCCTTGCTCTACTTCACTTGGTTTATAGCCTGAGGCCAGAGGCTGTGTTAAATCTGAAAAAAAAATTTTTCATATATAGCTAAAGTACATGTGTTACCATCTCTTATTCCAATAAATATAAGCTTATGAACAAAACTAAATACATGTACAGTTCTGTAATCTCTAAATAATGATCAGTAAGTATATACTGAAATACAGCAAATTAAGTTATGCAACTACAGTATCTACACATGATAAGCGAGAAGACTTTATGGTTGGCCACGGTCCACCATTATTTGAAGTCAAAAGAAATATAAAAATTTATATCTTGTAAAACTATACTGTATACAGTATTGCTCGTGCATTTTTCAACCATTTTATGATGCAAGAAAGCAGGTACAGTTTTAGTTTTGGCCATCTGGTGAATCTTAGTAATTTAACTCTTGGAATCAGTAGTTTAGACAATATAAGACACTTTTCTTCTATGACGTTTCCCTCACAAACGACTTACATCCGGCTCCAGTTAGGAGGTTAGATCAAGTCATTTGTGAGGGAAACGTCATAGAAGAAAAGTGTCTTATATTGTCTAAACTACTGATTCCAATAGATAAATTACTAAGATTCCCTCAATGATCAAAATTAAAATAATACCATAAAGCATTATGTTCTAGGGAGAAATTTCATGCAACTGGTAGTTATTTCTGCTCTATGGTGAAGTGTTGTACAATACAGTAGGTGGCTGAGGAAGCCAATTGGTGGGGACTATACCCTTTAAATATCATGAAAGTTATTACCCCTAAACTTTATATCTGTGATGACTAACTTCAATATAAAGAAACAACTTAGGAACCAAAAAATTCGTTGTAACAATAGTATAAACATTAAAATTTCACTTGTTGTCACTATACGAAATTGAAGTTGAAACAATGTTTTTTCCGGTGGTTTTTGATGTGTTATCAACGAATTATACCTACATTTCCAGTGCAAATCAGTAGTTCCTGAGATTAGTCCCCTCCCATCTCAGAATCTAAAGATTTGCTATAAAAATCAAGGTTAAGAGTATTCAAAACACATCGAAAACCATCAGAAAAACAAAACCCTAACCTAACCTAACCTAGCTTGGGAGCTCCACAGTCGTTCCATGTTGTGGGTGTGTACTGCCACGTACGAACATACTTAAAACATTGTTAAATATCTCACTTAAACATAATTTGCGTCAGAAATGCCATTGAGGAAAAGTGTCTTAGAATTGTCCAAACTACTGACTGCAAGCATAAAACTCCCGAGATTAGTGTAGTGGCAACAAGTGAAATAATAGCGTAAAAACAAGAGTGGGAGAGTGGCGATGATGATAAAGTTGAGATTAGAAACAGGACGATGTTTTAAACTAAAATTCCTATCAGTACAAGGTAAAAACATACCCGCAAACGTAAGTAACTGCACAAATTTATTCACTTTCCGAATTCAATAACTACCTTTCATGGCTGCTCTTTGACTAGAACTCACAACCACAGTTCTGTAAGGCGGCAACACACCCACACGGGGAATATCACTAAGAATGAGGCGGCCAGGACGGACTTGACATATCCTGTATAGTAACATGTTTGCTTATCTAAATCCTCTGGCAGCAACCACATCCAGCGAACACTCTCAGCGACCCAATAAGACAGCGACCACTACCAGCGATCAAAACCATCAGCGACTACTACTAGCATTGATATTTGATAAGACGTAAACATTTATACTGAGGGTCACTGTGAGCATACCTAGTCTAAAGTTTTACAGACATTTATCGGTCTCAGTTACGGTACACATGGGCTAATAAGTTGAATAGTGGTTAAATGCTGAATAATAAAAATAGACAATTAAGTGAATGCCGACGATAGAGAAAGTAAATACTGCGAAAAATATTAGAGTTAGGATGGCGCCAGTATAAGAGCGTTTTAGTTCCGAATGAAATTTCGGCTATTATATACAGGAATCATCACCAATAACATTTGTGACTTGTATTAGTAATTTAGCACTACAGTAATCTAATCAATTGTGTAATTCCTTAACATGTTATACTAGTAACGGATAAATTACGGTAGTTTTATACATGATTACATGAATCTACATCACATTCACGAACGAAAATACTAATGACGTATAATATTAATAAATTATCTGCTGCATATTTAATACAATAATGTTTATTATGACTTTCGTCGCCAAAATATAGAAACCAAAAATCGGCTTCTCAGTCGAAGGAAATACGTAGCCCACAACCTATGTCCAAAGGCACAACACAAAATGGTATAATATTATATGTTTATACAAATTTATTTATTTACTCGCTAAAAAAAATATATCTATCTTAAAATATAAATTTAATATATTTTTTACTTTATTCTGTATATATAAATATTATAACTTATTAATATATATTAGATAATATGCATATAATGTATGTAGATTTTAATATATTTCATCAATCTCAACACTGCATAAATTCTCTCTCATATATATATATATATATATATATATATATATATATATATATATATATATATATATATACTTCATTTTCTTCAAGTGTTGTCAACGTAATGTAATATTGCCATCTTAAAGTTACTGTTGTGGTGGTAATGTAAAAATTATTATAATTAAAAGTGGGACTTATTTTTAGCATTGGTACGGAATTCACGATACATTTAAAACTAGTAAAGTATACTTGTAAACAATGACAATTAAATTTATTGAAGCAACTGAAGCAAGAAAGTTTTGGGGACGACAAACTAATGAATACCAAGCAAATGAAATATGACAGTAAATATCCCTATATCCTCAGGTTTATTAAGTGCAAAGATATGGCCATTGAAGCGGTCAATTCCGTTCGTAAAGGTGACCTGCACATCCACCTTGAGAGTTACACAAGAGTTTGGTTTGAATGGCTGGAGAATATTAACAACCGGTGGGAAACAAATACAATAGTTTCCCTCAAAAAAGAAAAGAAAATGACACCAACTGTGGTAGATCTTCTCTATATATTTTGCTATCATAAGGTAGTGAATGTTGGCGGCCTTTTACACCAAGAGACCTTTTAATGTAATGTTAAAATAACAAAAGCTGTAGTTTAGTCAACATATACAGTGCATGTTAGTCATCTACGATGTGTGAACATGTCTATGGTGTTTTGCATATTACTCCTACAAAATATATTCTCAGATTTTATAGTTATGCTACAGGATAATTGAGCACAATTTCAACAAATTCATTAATTTAATAGTTACCTGTGAAAATAAAATAAATTGTATAAGCTTCAATTTGGTCGCGCCTTTACATAGTAAATTTCAACAGGAGAGTTTAGCATGTTTCAGCATGATTTGCATAATTTTTACGAAATATGTACCGTAGCGTGTTGTTGTCATCCTTGTACCGTGTGTCATGCTGCTTCAATAAAAAATAAAAGTAAGGAAGCGAGCGTGTGTTCAGCCCACTGGGCCCTTTAAGATGATACTGTATAAGCAAAACTGGTACAGATATTGTACACAAGCACACACAGACACGTCATCATCACTTACTATCGGATTTACCTAGCCAGAAGGATTACCGTGCACACACGCACGCAAAATCATTCGTACATACAATACGACTCTGGCAGACGTTTAGACAATATAAGACACTTTTCTTCTATGACGTTTCCCTCACAAACGACTTACATCCGGCTCCAGTTAGGAGGTTAGGTCAAGTCATTTGTGAGGGAAACGTCATAGAAGAAAAGTGTCTGTCTTATATTGTCTAAACTATTGATTCCAATAGATAAATTACTAAGATTCCCTCAATGATCAAAATTAAAATAATACCATAAAGCATTATGTTCTAGGGTGAAATTTCATGCAACTGGTAGTTATTTCTGCTCTATGGTGAAGTGTTGTACAATACAGTAGGTGGCTGAGGAAGCCAATTGGTGGGGACTATACCCTTTAAATATCATGAAAGTTATTACCCCTAAACTTTTTATCTGTGATGACTAACTTCAATATAAAGGTACAACTTAGGAACCAAAAAATTCGTTGTAACAATAGTATAAACATTAAAATTTCACTTGTTGCCACTATACGAAATTGAAGTTGAAACAATGTTTTTTCCGGTGGTTTTTCATGTGTTATCAACGAATTATACCTACATTTCCAGTGCAAATCAGTAGTTCCTGAGATTAGTCCCCTCCCATCTCAGAATCTAAAGATTTGCTATAAAAATCAAGGTTAAGAGTATTCAAAACACATCGAAAACCATCAGAAAAACAAAACCCTAACCTAACCTAACCTAGCTTGGGAGCTCCACAGTCGTTCCATGTTGTGGGTGTGTACTGCCACGTACGAACATACTTAAAACATTGTTAAATATCTCACTTAAACATAATTTGCGTCAGAAATGCCATTGAGGAAAAGTGTCTTAGAATTGTCCAAACTACTGACTGCAAGCATAAAACTCCCGAGATTAGTGTAGTGGCAACAAGTGAAATAATAGCGTAAAAACAAGAGTGGGAGAGTGGCGATGATGATAAAGTTGAGATTAGAAACAGGACGATGTTTTAAACTAAAATTCCTATCAGTACAAGTTAAAAACATACCCGCAAACGTAAGTAACTGCACAAATTTATTCACTTTCCGAATTCAATAACTACCTTTCATGGCTGCTCTTTGACTAGAACTCACAACCACAGTTCTGTAAGGCGGCAACACACCCACACGGGGAATATCCTTGACCACCGAAGGGTCAAGACGTACCTGGCACTCCTCTCGGAGCAGCCAGGTCAACTGTTAAGTTGGCCCATACCAACTCCCTTCCCTGAACCCTCCTCCCCACCGGAATATCAACAAGTTCTCGCCAGAAGTTACAATTTCATTTAGGAAAGGAATGGAACCAGTGTTAAACAGAGGTGAACATTGGTGAACAGTGCTTAAGTCAGTGAGAACAACTCAACAGTAACAGTCGTACTCAAGTTAACCTTCACACAGTGAGGTCCCAGGTACCCAGTGAAAACGGCCCGTGAGACCCAACAACCAGCGATGTGTTAATCCGTCTACGATAGGAAGGCCTAGGGCCACACCTCACTCATATAACACCATCTGTGAGGGAATTACTACACCACGTCAAGTCCCTCATAACACCATCTGTGAGGGAATTACTACACAACGTGATGCCCCTCATAACACCATCTGTGAGGGAGTTACTACACCACGTCAAGTCCCTCATAACACCATCTGTAAGGGAATTACTACACCACGTGAGGTCCCTCATAACACCATCTGTGAGGGAATTACTACACCACGTCAGGCCCCTCATAACACCATCTGTGAGGGAATTACTACACCACGTCAGGTCCCTCATAACACCATCTGTGAGGGAATTACTACACCACGTGAGCCCCTCATAACACCATCTGTGAGGGAATTACTACACCACGTCAGGCCCCTCATAACACCATCTGTGAGGGAATTACTACACCACGTGATGCCCCTCATAACACCATCTGTGAGGGAATTACTACACCACGTCAAGTCCCTCATAACACCATCTGAGGGAACTACTACACCACGTAGGCCCCTCCTAACACCATCTGGGAGAGAGTTACTACACTACGTGTTTGCTGTTCAACACCTACATTAATCTGAATGTTCACTGTATGTTCCTTTACCTATCTCTAATGAAGGCTTTTGTTTAACCACCAATGTATGTAATAAGTCATTTATGTCCAATGTATATTTTCAGCCTTCGGGCTGCAGAACTTTTTCAATAAACCGTTAATTATTATTATTATTATTATTAATATCACTAAGAATGAGGCGGCCAGGACGGACTTGACATATCCTGTATCGTAACATGTTTGCTTATCTAAATCCTCTGGCAGCAACCACATCCAGCGAACACTCTCAGCGACCAAATAAGACAGCGACCACTACCAGCGATCAAAACCATCAGCGACTACTACTAGCATTGATATTTGATAAGACGTAAACATTTATACTGAGGGTCACTGTGAGCATACCTAGTCTAAAGTTTTACAGACATTTATCGGTCTCAGTTACGGTACACATGGGCTAATAAGTTGAATAGTGGTTAAATGCTGAATAATAAAAATAGACAATTAAGTGAATGCCGACGATAGAGAAAGTAAATACTGCGAAAAATATTAGAGTTAGGATGGCGCCAGTATAAGAGCGTTTTAGTTCCGAATGAAATTTCGGCTATTATATACAGGAATCATCACCAATAACATTTGTGACTTGTATTAGTAATTTAGCACTACAGTAATCTAATCAATTGTGTAATTCCTTAACATGTTATACTAGTAACGGATAAATTACGGTAGTTTTATACATGATTACATGAATCTACATCACATTCACGAACGAAAATACTAATGACGTATAATATTAATAAATTATCTGCTGCATATTTAATACAATAATGTTTATTATGACTTTCGTCGCCAAAATATAGAAACCAAAAATCGGCTTCTCAGTCGAAGGAAATACGTAGCCCACAACCTATGTCCAAAGGCACAACACAAAATGGTATAATATTATATGTTTATACAAATTTATTTATTTACTCGCTAAAAAAAATATATCTATCTTAAAATATAAATTTAATATATTTTTTACTTTATTCTGTATATATAAATATTATAACTTATTAATATATATTAGATAATATGCATATAATGTATGTAGATTTTAATATATTTCATCAATCTCAACACTGCATAAATTCTCTCTCTCTCATATATATATATATATATATATATATATATATATATATATATATATACTTCATTTTCTTCAAGTGTTGTCAACGTAATGTAATATTGCCATCTTAAAGTTACTGTTGTGGTGGTAATGTAAAAATTATTATAATTAAAAGTGGGACTTATTTTTAGCATTGGTAAGGAATTCACGATACATTTAAAACTAGTAAAGTATACTTGTAAACAATGACAATTAAATTTATTGAAGCAACTGAAGCAAGAAAGTTTTGGGGACGACAAACTAATGAATACCAAGCAAATGAAATATGACAGTAAATATCCCTATATCCTCAGGTTTATTAAGTGCAAAGATATGGCCATTGAAGCGGTCAATTCCGTTCGTAAAGGTGACCTGCACATCCACCTTGAGAGTTACACAAGAGTTTGGTTTGAATGGCTGGAGAATATTAACAACCGGTGGGAAACAAATACATCAATATTCGTGACTTCCTGTGACAATTTAAGAGATGAGGTTGGGTGTGGGATGCGCGCACCTGTACGTTGTTCCCGTAACCTGCTTACAAAAATGGCAGTTGATGACGTAACATTACACAAATTGACAGCAGATGGAACAGCAATGTGGGCGTTGTTTGTGATCTGTGGCGGTAACATTGCAACCCGAAAGAAGCAGCGCGCGGGTAACACGGGTTAGTGTGTCAGTCATCATCAGGAAACTGCAGCGTGTGGTGGTGTGTTGCTCTCTTGTCTGTCATTGACTGTCTTCACAGTCATCTATGGTCTTTTAGTTGACATGGTATATAACATCTACACAAAACTTGAATCAAAATAACACTCAGCCAATAAGCGTAAGTATATAATGTTAAAAAAATTCGTGTTGGTCAGATCAAACCATGCAAGTGTAAAATGAAATCTCATAAAATTCCTGTCTCGAAGTTATCGGAACATAGTTAGCCAGAGTAATAAGACTCAATTAAATTTTATTAGGAGGACAACTGTTGCAGGAAGGTAATTTTTTATAGGTTGGTGCTAATGGCAGAAGTTTGTTTCCGTAGCGAGGTATCCGCCAGCTCCAGGTATGAACACTCAACTGAGTAATGTTCTGAGGTGTTTATAAATTTCTATTAAGTCACCCCATGCCCGCCTATAGTATAAGCTTGGCAATTGCAGGCTTTCTAATCTTTCTGGGTAGCTGAGGGGCCGTAGTGCAGGCACAAGTCGGGTGGCCTTCCTTTGGACATTTTCAATCAACTGACAATCTCAACATATCTCGGGGGACCAGACGACAGTACTCCAGACGGGGAAGCACTTGCATTTTATGACATTGAATCATAACATCCATTTTTTGGACCACCAGAGTTTTTAAGCCAGTCTAGAGGTCCTATGAGTAATACAGTTTATCATGAAAAATCCAACTACGTGTCTGGGATGTTAACAGCGCAGTAAAGTAGAACAGCAATTATTACAAAATACTAAGTTAAACAACCTAAAAATATTATACACCACTCAACATATCACTTTGTATCGGAGAAGTTATTAGTTGTAAAAAAAATACTGTATAAACCATTAAAATATAATCACAGCGCTTATTACACTGTACCGGGCCACCTATTGTCTGTTTAACCCGCGCTATTAACTCCTCACCACCAGAAAGCGTCAGTTGTAATCAATCCAAAAGTACTGGGTGGAAAGACTTGCTGTGTTAAGAAACTGTGGCTCTAAGACGCTGCGAAACGAATACCTAACTGTACGTACATTAACCCTTCACCGCGTCACGCACTTACCATTTTTATTCTGGTTACCGTCAGACGATTTTATTTAGTTTAGGGTAACATCCCGCTGTGAAAGGGTTAAGATAAAATATAACTAAAGTATGATCTTTTGGTGGTTACGGGACTATACAGTATTCCAACAGTTCATCAGGTCAAAGGTCTCAACCCACTGGTCTCGTTAGGTATTGGATCGGAAAGAACCCTAATTGGCTGAACCACGATGGCGCTATCTTCCTTCTCCCTTTGTGCATCTTTTACTTGCTACTCTCTAATAAATCTTTTTGAATTCTTGTTATTCCACTCACTACTTTCCCGTACTGTCAACGTGTTTTGATTATTATCAAGATCAGTACTGATTGCGGTCCATTCTCATCGTGGTGACTAGTATCATGCACTTCATGTCAAAAAAAATTCGAACCAACACAATCCACCCTAAGCTTTAATGTATTCATATATCATTAGGTAGTTTGGGTTGGCTTTGGTTCCTTTTCCCTGTTTTAAAAGAATATTTGGACGATTTTCACCAAAAATACAATTTGAAAAATCTAATGTTTGTGAGACTGCGTGTTGCAGAAGTGGTGTATGGTAACGAAGAGGTGGCGATACTGAAGCTAAGTAGAGTAATATGTGGTGATATTGTTGGTGCAATTAACATGTAGTGCTGGGGTGGAGGGGTGAGGCGGAGGGTGTAGGGGGTGAGGTTGGGGTGTAGGAGGCTCCCACTTGTGGGAAGTACACCCCGAGAGAGGGGGAAGCGCCGGCAGTGTGGGTGGTGAGGTGAACACAACAGTTATATAAGAAAGTCGAGTCATTTTAGCGCGCGCCATTGACCACACACTGGTACCTCCTCCTGCTCCTCTTTCTTCTTCCTCCACTCATCCTTCTTCACCTTCTTCCATCTTCAAAGCAAACGGCTCTCTTCTCTCCATCTCATCATCATCATCATCATCATCTGTCATCTCCCCCCTGTATTTTGTGTGTGTGGGGAAGTCACCTGGAAGTTGTAACAGCTATACATGTTGCTCAATATACTGCTCATTGTCTACTAATATTATTTTTTTTATTGTACTTAAGAGCTGTGCCATATGATTTAGAACGGGAATTAGGAACTTTCAGATTATTAGAACATATTAACATTTTCTTAAGTATTGTGTAGTTTACCTTAAAAATGATCTAACTTCTGGTATACAGAATGTTATAAATTAAGTTAGTTAATTATTAATGTGTTCCAGTATTATTATCAACTGTAAAAAAAGTTCTGTTATCGGGGAGGTACAGTATACAGGACAGGCGGTAGGCCCAGTCTGATATACCTTTACAACTTTATTTCTCGCTCGCTGCACACGACTCGCCCTTCGATGTTCTACTAAATTTCGGCATCGTCAGGCACTCGGGCGTTTTCTTCATAGCATGCCTCCAGAGAGTTACCTACCAGTGTGTAGTTTTTCCAGCAATACGTTCGTCAAGTAAAACACGGCTCAATTCTAATAGTGGAGGTGGTGGAGCGAGAAGATCGTCTCCTGCACAAGCTGTTCAGGCTCCGGCTGTCAGTCGGAGCTCAGCTGTGGTTCTCATTGGTCACTGGAGGGTGACGACCCGACAACATCCATTTTCTGTTCCCGGATCGCAGTTCGCTGAATGTGGGTGCTCGTGACCACTTCTAAAAGAACATCAGCTTTTAGGTTGTTTCTCACACATTGCAAACGATCACAAAGTAGTAATTTGATACATTTTTAGTAAATGTTCCAGGTTTGATAATTATTTAAATTTAAAATTGTTTGCATGGTGTATCCATTGTCTCTAGCCTATCTTAGCCTTGAGTGATAATTTTTGGGGGGGAATTGATTTTAAGCTTGGTAAGGTGTTAGTCTCTCTGTGCCCTGAAATTGATGTAATTATTATTATATTAGAGGACTGAAGACGGTCAAGGATATATTGTATATTTAATTTTTGGTTAACGCATACACACAGTATAGTTTATTCATGATAATAATTTGACCTCACTCGCGCCATTCCGGGCGGGGGCCTCAGATACAAACTTCCCATCATGTGTCCGTCCGTTTGGGCGTCTACTGTAGTTATGTACACACCTGAAACGCATAACACGTAGACGTGTAGATGTACCGGCCACAAGATTACAACCCAATTCGAGAATCAATCTGTTGTGGTGCTGCGGGGAATTGCCTTTTTTTGTGTTAAGTCCTATATTATCCGCTCCTCGAAACTGTTAGAATTTCAACTATCTTTAGATACATTTCTTGGTATATGGTAAGATTTATGAGGTTGTAACAAGAACTCCTGTACAGCGGTAAAGGCAAGCATGTCCCTGTATAAATTAAGTAGAACGTTATTATTGTCATTGTCAGATTGATGTACATAGAAAATAATTACTTTGTGTGTGCGTGTCGACAACAACGTGTGTTTGTGTGTAGACGGCATATGCTATCAGCAGCTACCTTTACATAAATACAATAGTTTCCCTCAAAAAAGAAAAGAAAATGACACCAACTGTGGTAGATCTTCTCTATATATTTTGCTATCATAAGGTAGTGAATGTTGGCGGCCTTTTACACCAAGAGACCTTTTAATGTAATGTTAAAATAACAAAAGATGTAGTTTAGTCAACATATACAGTGCATGTTAGTCATCTACGATGTGTGAACATGTCTATGGTGTTTTGCATATTACTCCGACAAAATATATTCTCAGATTTTATAGTTATGCTACGGGATAATTGAGCAAAATTTCAACAAATTCATTAATGTAATAGTTACCTGTGAAAATAAAATAAATTGTATAAGCTTCAATTTGGTCGCGCCTTTACATAGTAAATTTCAACAGGAGAGTTTAGCATGTTTCAGCATGATTTGCATAATTTTTACGAAATATGTACCGTAGCGTGTTGTTGTCATCCTTGTACCGTGTGTCATGCTGCTTCAATAAAAAATAAAAGTAAGGAAGCGAGCGTGTGTTCAGCCCACTGGGCCCTTTAAGATGATACTGTATAAGCAAAACTGGTACAGATATTGTACACAAGCACACACAGACACGTCATCATCACTTACTATCGGATTTACCTAGCCAGAAGGATTACCGTGCACACACGCACGCAAAATCATTCGTACATACAGTACGACTCTGGCAGACGCATGAACACCGTGACGCATTATATCAAGTCACGAAAGAATTACCAGGGAGACGCTGGTAATCACACACACTTGTTCACATGGCCGGCCCGTCACCACCTTTCATCTATATTCGCTTTTCACTTTCAGTAGTTATTCGTTGTTCACCCTCCATGGAAGTTGTACCTTAATCTAATATACTATAGGACTAGGCGTGTGTCTGTCTGTTCTGGGCAGCCGAAACGGCACAATCGTTTTTCATCGTAGAGTGGAACAAACCTGGTCCCATGTCAATGGTTTCTTTAGGAAGGCATTAAGTAACAATTTGATTTACGATGGAAAACAATGCAAGTCTACGGACTTGGCGCACCCTCATTCACTGTACGATTTACGAACGTTAAAACTTTTACAAGGGCACGAAGGGCCCGCGATCACTTGTAATTCTATTATTTTTGTAGCTCTAAATTGTCGGGCTATTTCACGTTTTCCCTTAACTGATGATCGGAGAACACTTTTCACAGATTCCCTTAAGCACAACCACTCGAAGAACCGCTGCCTTAACTAACCTCTTCTAACCTTACTCCTTCCGCCACTTGCAAACCTACTAGTCGGACAAGTACTAAGCATGTACTGGCTCTTGAATGTACCTGAACATGTATCAGTGTTAGTGAAGTTTGAACCTAAAGGAACTCACGGCTAGAGTGCTCACAAAATTTTCTGTCAATTTGTTCCACGAGTGCATAACAGTTTTCTGTACTAGACTGGATGTCTGTCAGAAATTGTTGCTATCTCTGATATTAAATGGGAGTACGTAATTAGCTTGAGTGACGTCATGAATATAAATAAAAAGAACGATTCAACTTGATAAAGAGTGCGTTCTTGAACTTTAATTATGACGTCACAGGGAGGACATTTATTATTCCCGCCCTACTTCCTCTGATATAGTGAAGT